GGTTGGGGTGAGATCCAAGAGTCTGCATTTCAAACAAGCTTCTAGTGCTTGTGGCTGGTTTGCACACCACTCTGAGTAAATAAGGCTTAGCCAAGATGTTTACCTTTTCTTTTGAATCTTCAGAAAAATAGCTGCATGAGAATAACTTGTTCCGAGGCACCTTGATCCAAATCACAACACTGAGCTGACAGTGTTATAACTGAATCTATTTGGCAAACCTATGATCACTAAACTAGATTCATCTTTTTTATATTATTATTTTTGGTGATACTGAGGCTTGAACTCAGGGCTTCATGCTTGCTACACAGACACTCTACCATTGAGCCATGCCCTCAGCCCTTATTGCTTTAGTTATGCTGGGTCTGGAGACCTAAGGCAGATGAGTGAGTATCCTGCCCCCCATGGAGAGCACTGTGATTCCTGCATCCTGAGAGGGAGTTGTAAACCTGCATTTCTGTACCATGAAGAGGAGATACAGGGTCTGATAGGTCTGCCACAGGGCTGATGAGCAAAATGCTCTCAAGATTGTTTCCCCTCCCCTAATAAGGGGCAAAACAAACCAGTTCACCTAAGAAAGCCTGCGAATCCATGGCCAATGAAAAGAACCCACCTAACCCAGACTTAAAACATCCCTAAAAACCCCAGCCTTCACCTGAGCAGCGAGCTACCGGCTTCCAGGCTCTGCTGCACTTCTCTAGCTGTAGCCTTTCCGTTCTCTCTAATAAATCCTACTTTACATACTGGCTTTGGCCCATGAATCATTGAAAAACTCAATGTATGAGCTCAACAACAGATTGGAGAGGACCCAGGAAAGACACAGGGACTTTGAAGACAGAACAATAGTAAGGACCCAATCCAACCAACAGAGAAAAAACAGACTGAAAAACAACAAACGAACACAGCTTCAGGGGCACATGGGACTGTAACACTCAGGTCCTTACAATCCCAGAAGGAATGAGAATGGATGTGAGGCTATACAAATATATGCGAGGAAATCATTGATGGACTTTCCTCAAATTTGGCAAGATGTAAATTTACAGATTCAAAAAGCTGAGTAAATCCTAAACAGGATAAATCCAAAGAACTCATGCCAATATATCAGTCAAACTTCTGAACTAAAGACATAATCTAGAAATGATAATTTACCATGGGGTAGAAGGGGGAGGGGTCATTCAAGGGACAGATTTCTCACCACACACCATCGAAGGCAGAAGGAAGGAGCACAATATTTTTCAAGTGCTGAAAGAAAGTAACTATCAACCCAGAATTCTATTTCCAGTGAAAACATCCCTTAAGAGTGAAGGGGAAATAGAGGTATTCTAAAATAAAGGAAAACTAAGGGAATTTGTCACCAGCAGATCTACCTGAAAAGAATAGCTAAAGGAAGCTCTCTAAACAGAAAGGAAATGATAAAAGATGGAATCTTGGAAGGGAAAAAACATGAGAAAACATAATAGACTTTTCTTCTCTGGATTTTCTAAATTGTCTCTTTATGTTTTGTTTTGTTTCTGTTTGTTCTTTTTTTTTTTAAGACAAGGTCTTGTTATGAAGGCCAGACTGGCCTCAAACTTGAGATCCTCCTACCTCAGCCTCGTGAGTGCTAGGATTACAGGCGAGGGTCACCACAGTCGGCTCTAAATTATGTTTGAAGGTTGAAATGAAAATTATGCCCCTGTCTGATATGTTCTCGGTGAATGTGGAAGAAATACTTAAGACAGTTCTAAGTGGGGAAGGGGAAGGGAACATAGAAATATAAGGTTTCAATCCTTTATTCACACTGGTAAAATGTCATTATCAGTAGACTGTACTAAATTGCACACACATAATAAAATATCTAGGTCAACCAGTGAAATAGCTATGCAATAGCTCACAAATACTACCCAGATGGAATTCTGATACTATCACAATGGAATTCTAAAGGACAGATAAAGTGTCATATTTATCTTTTTTAGTTATCAACCTATTTTGTTGAAATTTCTTTTAACTATACGCTCTTTACTTTTTCTCCCCTATGAGTGACACTAAGACACCAATTATCAGTTAACACAGTTGGAGCAGTCATTAATAGTATACCATTAAAAAAAAAAATCAAATAAAATCCCAACTAGTCAGGAGGCTGAGGCCAGAGGATTGCTTGAGTCTAGGAGTTCAAGGCCAGCCTAGGCAACAAAGTGAGACCTCATCTCAAAAAATAATCAACTAGAATAGATACTATGGAATAAAACAGTATTCTTAGAACTACTAAATCTGTAAATGTCAGCGAATACTGAAAAGAGGGTTCAATAGAAAGTTTTAAAAAAGCCAATATGGAGGCTGGTGGAGTGGTTCAAGTGGGAGAGAACCTATCTAGTAAGCACAAGGCTCTGAGTTCAAACCCTAGTACCACAAAAAAAAAAAATACAGTAGGGTCCTAAAGATAAAAAGTTCACTGAATTATCTCATTAGATTTATTTCTTTACTATTTGTATTCATAGACACTCAAGTTCTGAGAACAACTTTGACAGTACAACTAACTATCCATCATCAAAAGTGAGATTAATCCAATGTATTACCATCACTGTGCTCAAGTCACTCAAATATATTCCCTTGCTTTTGTAGCCAAAACTTTGGCAAGTGTGGCAAAAACTGGCTAGTACTTCACTAAATCATCTCTTTTTCCACCAAGTACATTGGTAAACCATGACTCCCAGCATCTCTTTAAGTTTGGTGTAGCCATGTTGATGAGTTGTGACCAATGGAAGATAGGTGGAAGCTTTGGTCATATAGTATGATCCTCCATTCTTGCATCTCATCTGTTGACCAGATGCAGAGGATCCAGTGGAGACCACTATGAGGAGGCCCCTGAGATCCTGAATTCCTTAGATTTAAGGAGCCTGGGTTCCTAACTCACCACTTGACAAACACTGTGAGTCACCTGGCCAGGAGCACCCTGTGAAACTGCAGACAAACAATAAACAAACATTTATTGTATTTAGCTACTGAAATTGTGAGCTTTTTGTGTGTTGTGGCAGTTAGCCTACCTTGAAAAATAGTATATACTTCATTTCTCATACTTCCTTGTCCACAAGTGAATTCAACAGGGTATGAGACCCTAGTGAGACCCTGCAAAAAGATATTTAATATCTTGAAGAAACTTTACCAAGTGCTAGATGGAAGTCTTTTCCACCAGTTGTTCCTCATTGCTGACATTTTCCATGAAACTTCTGAGGCTTGAGAGTGAAAAGAATCACTCCTTTCCGTTTTTATAAGGTCATGGTCAAGAGAACTTGTCACTTCACATCCCAACTAGCATCTAGATAAATGGCATATATACATATTCCATTTCACTTTACTGAAGTGCCAAACTGAGTAAAAGTTAAGGTAATGCTGTGATTGGAGAGAACAAGGTATTTTATATTACTATACTATCTCTAATACTTAAATACTTTTACAAATTAAAGTACATTAGGTATCTTTTTCTTTCTATACCTCTGTAGTTGTGAAACTTCTTAATCTGCACAGGTTCTTAGCCTTTTTTTGTTGCAGACTCTTTGGAAGTCTGGTTAATGAATGGATCCTTTATCACGAAAGTATTTTTTAACACATAAATGAACTACATATGACTTCAAAGAAAACAAACTGAATCAAAACACAGTTATCAAAACATTTGAAATGTTATAGCAATGTGCCTCTTTACTGACACGTTAAATAACAAGATCTAGAGGTGCCTCTAATAATCACTACTGCAATTTTGAAGTAGTGATGACTGGAAACACTTTGGGATAACTGTAACATTACTGTGAAATGAAAGCATTTGATTTCTGACAAAAACTACAAGTACTGGTAATACTAATTGGCTTGTTTCCTGCATCCATAATAAAAAAAAATGTTAAATAGAAGTTAATGAAACTAAAGGTGAAACCCTGATTATCTGCATGGAGTTCAGGTTAAGAGCTCTAAGACTACAGGCTTTCACAAAACACTGACAGTGCTTATCTCATAGTGTGGAAATATGGGTGGTTTAAAACTTTCTTTTTTTGTATTTTTCACATTATCTATGATAAGCAGATATTACTTTCATGATTTATAAAAGACTTTACTTTGTTATATTCAGGGCACAGAAATAATATTGGAAAAACAAAATAATGATTGAGGGGGCTGGTGGAGTGGTTCAAGTGGTACAGTGTCTGCCTAGCAAGCATGAAGTTCAAACCCCAGAACCACCAAAAAAGAAAAAGAAAAATCCAAACAATTGAAGGAAATCTTTTTGGGAGAGAGAGAGGGAGAGGGAGAGGGGGAGAGGAACAGGGGGTAAAGGGAGGAGGGAGAGAGAGAGAGAGAGGAAGAGAGAGAGTCTGCATGAGGGTGAAGAAGTCGAACTTGACTTTCTGAGACTTAAAACTAGTGAGACCTTCATGGCATTTATCTTTATACACAAGGGATCACCTCTCTAATGCTGCCTCAGGGCTGAAGTGCCACAACTGCCTTAACAGGCCACGCAACAACCCATAGGCTGCTATTACTCATGCGGTTTGTAATTTCCTTATCCATACTTCTGCATCTCCCACTCCTGCTTACCTCCCAGCCAGGACTTCGTCTGCCTACACCATGCTCCAAGCCTTGCTACCTTGTTCCTGCCAGTCAGCCTATTATCGCCACCAAACACTATTTTAAGTTATTTCCATATCGTTTCTTCTACGAGTAAAGAAGCTACTTGAAGGCAGAAGACCTTGTCAATACCGTCAGCACGTGAAACTACCTGGTGGCAGGAGTGAAGGGATGAATGGATGAGTACCTGTGCACGTCTCCTTGGAGCTCACTCGGTTTAGCAATGAAGTCAGTTTAAGTAAAAGCAGTTAAGAGTTCTTATCCGTCCGCAATTGCGGGATCCGCATGAACCCCTACAGGCCTTTGCCGAAGGTGCGGGGTGGGGCACAAGACCCACCAGGTCTGGTGCGCAACTGCGGCTGCGCGGCGCCCGGGGAGGGCGGGGCGAGCTGCTCCCGGAAAGGGGGAAGGAACCAACGAGGCGAGTGGGTCCGCCGGTGGGCTAGAGTGGCGCGGCCGAGGCGGGGACCAAGCTGGTCATGGAGGACGAGAGGAGCTTCTCGGATATCTGCGGCGGCCCCCTGACCCTGCAGCGCCGCTCCTACTCTCCGTACTGCCGGGAGTTCTGCCTCAGCTGCCCTCGGCTGTCGCTGCGCTCGCTCACCGCGGTCACCTGCACCGTGTGGCTGGTGGCCTACGGACTCTTCACCCTCTGCGAGGTAATGGCCGGCGGGCCTGCTTCGGAAGGGTCCTTGGTCCGACCCTCCTGGAGTTGTAGGGACCGAGGGCGGGGACTCGCCGGTTCTGGGGACGCCGATCTGCTGCTGGACAGCGCTTTTCGTTGCATTTAGAGAAGTTTGTGCTCCTGGACGTCGTCTCTCTGCCCTGGATCCACTTCACGTATATCTAGTTCTTGCACGACAGCTAAAACTCACTTCCGTGTGCACCGTGTAGTCCACGCTCACAGCGCATCAGTCCCACACTTCAGAGGACTGTTAGTGCATCTTCCCCATCCATCCCTTCTCCTCCTCCTATCACTTTCCTATAGTCTTCCAGAAGCTGCCTTTGCCTCCACAGTCTGTTTTTCCTGACCGAGACCAACCACTTCCCCAGTTTCAAGCGTACTGGCTAGAAGAATTAAGAACTTTCGGACATGCGTGGTTTCTATCTTCAGCTTCCAGGCTCTTTTCTCTGTTCTCTGAACCTCAGTTTTCACAGCTCTGAAATGGAATTAATAGCCACTTGACAGTATTGTGAGGATCAAACTAAGTAACTTTGTGGTACTTCTCAAGTAAAAAGAATCATCTCACTGCCCCTTCTCAGGATGAGTTCTAATTTCGTAAGCTAAGCCTTCCCATGCTTCAGGTCTTGGTTTGGAGCATGGGGTACCTTGTTCCAGCTTTTGCCCTTCGCTTTTCCTGGCCGTTGGTTCTGGCAAGTTCTACAGTGCCTCATCCTTGTATGCATATGTCATTCCAGGAGTGATCCCACCAGAGCTAAGAGCACCAGGACTGTTTAGTTCCATAATTTGCATGTTGTTGCCATTACTACATCCATTAGCTTTTGTGTGTGTGTGTGCCGGCAAAACGTACTTCAAAGCGTCGTAACTTAGCACAGAGCCAGGCAGAACTAATGCCCTCATTTATTCCAAATCGTATTTAAAAATTGCTTAGTAGGTCTTTTCAAATGATAATTAAATTGGTGTGAAAGCTTCTCCATCCAATTTCATTTATAAATAGTTGAATTTTAATGTTAACCTGAGTTCTAGTCATGCATGTGGTTATGTGAGGAGGAACAACAACAACAAAAAATAAACGCCCACTAAGTGCCAACTGCTTTACTGAATTCCTTACTTCAAGCTCGTAAGTGAAAGATCTGGACTTTAAACTGAGGACTGTCTGACTGAAACCTTTTCTTTTTCGTTATACCATAGTATAACTGATCTTAGGCTAAATAAGTAAAAAAAAAAAAAAAACTTTGTTACAGGGTCTTGCCATCTGAGCTCAGATCCTCCTGCCTCAGCAAATAGTAAAGGTCAAATAGTAAATCTATTAGGCTTTGTAGATCTCTGTCTCATATTCTTTTTTCTTCCTGAAGTCCTATAAAAAAATTAAAAATTGGCCTCGGGGCATGGGGTACAGTGCTTGCCTAACAAGCACAAGGCCCAAAATTCAAGTTCAATCCCCAGTACAGCAAAAAAAAAAAAAAAAGGTCAGGCATGGTGGCTCACATCTATAATCCTAGCTATCAGGTGGCAGGATTGGGAGGATTGTGGTTCTAGTGGTTCTAGGCCAGCCTAGGCAAAGGTGTTGGTGAGAGTCTGTCTTAATCAATAAGCCAGATGTGGTGGTGGTGATACCTGTAATCTTAGCTATGCAGGAGGCAAAAACATGAAATTTTGCCTGAAAAATAACTAAAAACAGAAAACGGAATGATGGAGGGGGTGAATCTAACCTAGGTACATTGTAAGCACATATGGAAATGCCACAATGAAACCCCCCTACACAACTAATAAGTGTTAATAGAAATGTTTTTTTTTAAAAAAGGACTGGAGGCATGGCTCAAGTGGTAGAACACTTGCCTAGTAAGCATGAGGCCCTGAGTTCAAATCCCTGTACCACCAAAAATTTTTAAAAATCATTCGTTGTTCAAGGTGGGCAAAACAAAAATAGACCATAAGCCTGAAGTTTGCAGGTTCCTGATGTAATACTGTGTGTTAGCTGAAGTGGTAAATCAGATTTTATTCAGGACCTACTGCAGTAGGGAAAGAGAGACTTCAGAATAGAACTGCCCTCAATCCCAAATATACAAAAGGACAAGTGGTGATTTATAGCCAAAGAGCAGGGTGGGGGTTAGTGGATGGAGAATTACTAAAAGGAATCATCTGGAGCAAGTAACATTCTGGCTAAACTGACTTGTCAAGATTTTTACAGAAGGTAGATACTGTAGTTTGGATCTGGAAGGTCCCCCAAAAGCCCATGTGTCTCCCCAAAAGCTTAGTGGTATTGGAAAGTGATGGAAACCTTAAGAAGTGGGATTTGGCTTGACGTGCTGTCTCATTCCTGTAATCTGAGCTACTTGGGAGATGGAGATCAGGAGGACTGTGGTTCACAATAAGCCTGGGCAAAAGTTAGCGAAATCCCCATCTCAGCCAATAAGCTGGGCACAATGTTGGGAGCATGCCTGTCTTCCCAGCTACATAGGAGGCAGAAATAGGAGGATCATGATCCATGCAGGCCCTGGCAAAAAAACTCGAGCCTGGTGAGGTGGCTCATGCCTGTGATCCTAGCTGCTTCAGAGGCTGAGGTCAGGAGGATTGAAGTTTGAAGCCAGCCTGGGCAAATAGTTTGTAAGACCTCATCTTCAAAAATGGACTGGAGGTTTGGCTCAAGTGGTAGATCACTTGCCTAGCAAGTGCAAGGCCCTGAGTTCAAACCCCAGTACTATAAAAAAAAAAAAAAAAGTGAGGCCTAGTGGGAGGCATAAGTTACCCGGGGGTGTGCCTTCAGAGGGGCTCATGTGACCCAGGTCCTTCTCTTCGGTTTCCTGGCTGCCATGAGATGAACAGTTTGTTTCATGTCATATACTGCCTCACCATTCACTCAAAAGCAATGGGGCCAACCAGTCATGGATTGAAACCTCCAAAACTGTGAGCCAAAACAAATTTTTCTTTTTTCAGTGCTGGGCATCAAATGCTAGGCTTTGCACATGGTAGGTAGGCAAGTGCTCTACTGCTGGACTGTAACTCCAGTACAACCTTTTTTCTTTTCAATCTGTTTAATCTTAGGTATTTTGTTATGGTAGCAGAAAGTTAACCCAGTAAGCCAGGTGATCAGATACTAAGGGTGGGAGTTCTGTCTTCAACTTGGAAGGTTCTTGCTACTACTGGGCAGTGCAGGCCCACCAAAGACAGATGGGTCATGGGCTAGAGGACTTAGAGCAGTCGGACTAGAGTTAGGTCAATGAGGGTGTCTGGTGAATACAAAGAATAAGAAGACATTCTGATTGCAAGGAATGTGGTCCAGAATTACTGAATTTCATTGATGTAAGTCATCAATGATTCCCCCCCCACCCCGTGCCAGCCTTCTAAATAATACCTTCTAAGAATAGAAAGAATGCCACATGAGAAAACCACGCACCAGTAAAACAACATGCTTCAACTTCAGAAATGTCAAAAGATTGCAAATGTGTCTTAGACTCAAGAGAATACATAGTAATACCATTTCCTGTGTATACCAGGGGTCAAGCCCAGGCCCTTGTGCATTGCTAGGCAAGCGCTCTCACCGAGCTACATCCTCAGCCTGGTTACCATTTTCTGAGCCCTTAACAACATCATTTAGTCACAGTCAGCTATAGGTAACCCAGAACTAAAGACTTAAATAAAAAGGACCTTTATTATTTAACACAACAGAAAGTTGTCAGGTAGGAAGGCTTCAGAGTTTATACGAGAGCACTTTTGATTCTGGCTGCATTTTCCCCCTCAGTGTTCTGTTGTAGTCTTCAGCCTACTTCTCTAGTTGGTCTCTAGAGGTTATAGTAGTTTCAGAGATCTAAACCTTGGATGATGAGACAGTTCTACTTTACAGCTTTTTTTTTTTTTGGCAGTATTTGGATTTGAACTCAGGGCTTCACACTTGCTAGGCAGGTGCTCTACTGTTTGAGCCATGCCCCAGCTCCCCAGTCATGAATTTTGGGAGGAAGGGAGGCAGTGCCTTGTACTTGCTAGGCAGGCTCTCTACCACTTGAGCCATACTCCCAGACCTTTTTACTCTGGCTATTTTGGGTCAGAGTCTTGCTTTTTGCCCGAGCAAAAATAGGACTGTGATCCTATTTTATGTTTCCTGCCATCGCTGGGATGGCAAGCATGCACTCCAATCTTTTTTCCATTAAGATGGAGTCTTGTAGACCTTTTTTTTTGATGGTGCTGGGGCTTGAACTCAGGACCTATACCTTGAGCCACTCCACCAGCCCTTTTTTGTGAGAGGCTTTTTCAAGATTGTGTCTTGCAAACTATTTGCCTGTGCTGGCTTTGAACCTTGATCCTCCTAGTCTCTGCCTCCTGAGTAGCTAGGATTACAGGTGTGAGCCACTAGTGCCTGGCTTGTGGACCTTTTTTGCCCAGAACTGCAATCCTTCCAATCTAAGCCTCCTAAGTAGCTAGGATTACAGTGTGAGCCACTCATGGCATCCAGCTCTTAATCTGTTTTAAGACAGAATAAATTTGCCCCTTCCGCAGACCTCAGTCACCACATTTCATTGGCCAGAGTTGTCTCACATCCCCATTTCTAAGCCAATCATGATTCCCTCCAAATTCTATTAGGAACAGTGAGTGGCTGTTTATCAGGCTAGGAGTCGTATCTACTACTGCACTAACAGTTGTTAAGTCTATGATTCTCTGTTATATATTTTGTGGAGAGAGCATGAGAGAAGATGTGGGTCCTTGAGTTGCAATTTTGGAAGAAAAATTTCTGAGAGTGGTATGATGGTAAGACAATTTGCTGGAGGTTCTCCCAGACCTATTCCTTAGTAATCTGGGTCCATTTCACTTTATACTCTGAGAGAAAATGTGATTTCCTCTTCCTTTATGCACATTCCCTTCATCTGTTCAACTCAGCAGAGCAAAGGACTTCTACATCGGTTGATTTGTCATACAGCACAGATATTTGCTGAGGACATCTGGTGATCTTACTGCCTGTGTCTGGCTTTCTCTTCAGAACAGCATGATCCTCTCTGCTGCCATCTTCATCACCCTGTTAGGCCTGCTTGGTTACCTCCATTTTGTGAAGATTGATCAGGAGACCTTGTTAATCATTGATTCTCTTGGCATCCAAATGACTTCGTCCTATGCTTCAGGCAAAGAAAGTACCACCTTCATAGAGATGGGCAAGGTCAAGGATGTTGTCATTAATGAGGCTATTTACATGGTAAGTATTCAAGTGATAATTATTTCAGACCTTTCTGTAGGAGGCAGTCAATCCAAGAAATGTTCTGGGATGCAAACTGAGACTTAATACCTAAAGTATCTGATGTCACAGAATTAAACTTGAGGACTCTCTGTTTCAGTACTTGCAGTGTTTCTTTCTTGGCTGGCATGTCTGTAAAACATAAAAAGTGAAGCTTACATTGAAGAGCTAAGTCCCTTTACAGTTGTGCTTCACTTAGTGATGGGATATGTTCTGAGAAATGCATGGTTAGCCACCTTCCTTGTTGTGCATACACCACAGAGCATACCTGCACAAACCTCAGGGGAATAGGTGAGTCACTCATCAGTAAACATGGGACGGTTGAAGCTGCTATCAGCATAACGCGGCATGCTATTTTACAGTAAACCTTTTTTTTTTTTTTTTTTTTTTTAAGACAGGGTCTCATTGTATAGCCCAGGCTGGCCTCCAACTTGTGATCTTCCTGCCTTCACCTCAATGTTGAGATTACAGGTGCATCCCACCATGCTAACAAACTTTTTTCATAAGTACAAATGCACTCTAAAATAACAAAAGTATAGTATAGTAAATACATAAACCAGTAAGGCATTTGTTATTATTAAGTACTATACATAATTTCATATGCTATACTTTTATATAATTGGCAGGACAGTAGGTTTGTCTGTATTAACATCACCAAAAACATGCAAGAAGCTGGGTACCGGTGGCTCATGCATATAATCTAGCTACTTAGGAGGTAGAGATCAGGAGGATCATAGTTAGAAGCCAGCCTGGATAAATAGTTATTGAGACCCTATCTCAAAAAAAAAAAAAAAACGCACTACATAAAAGGGCTGGTGGAGTGTCTCAAGAGGTAAGAGTGCTTGCCTTGCAATCCTGAGGCCCTAAGTTCAAACCCCAGTGCTGCCAAAAAAGAAAGAAAACAAATACATTGTACTATGACATTATGATGTCATCAGGCAATAGGAATTTTTCAGCTCTATTACAGTCTTAATAGGGCCAGCATTGTGTTGTATATACAGTCCATCATGACCAAAACTTTGTCAGGCAGTGTCTGGCTTTTTTTTTTTTTTTTTTTGGCAGTACTGGGGTTTGAACTCAGCCTTCACCTTGAGTCACTTTGCCAGTCCTTTTTATGATGGTTATTTTCAAGATAGGGTCTTGTGAGCTATTTGCCCTGCTCTCTGCCTCCTGAGTAGCTAGGATTACAGGCATGAGCCACCAGCGCCCGGCTAGTGCCTGGCTACTTTTAAGAGACTTCATCTAGCAGATTTTTGTAGATAGGGAGCAGCATTTCAACTTTATCTTCTAGCCTAGCTTCAAAATCATCTGGGGCTCTTTTTTTTCCTTTCATTCCTTCCCTTCCCTTTTTCTTTGCTACTTAGAGATAACTATTTATGAAAAAGTTTTGAGCCTTAAAGAGAAAACAACAAAAAATAAATTTTACTTAGACCTCTGTTTTTGTCTTATTTTCTCATAGCAAAAGGTGATTTACTACCTCTGCATTTTATTGAAGGACCCAGTGGAACCACATAGAATATCTCAAGTAGTACCTGTCTTCCAGGTGAGCACAGAATACTTTTTCCTTTTTTCAATGAAATCCTCTACCTTTTTCTGCACTTTATGTTCAGTAGGAAAGTAAACTTCCATTTTCAAGAGTATTGGAAACTACCTGACAGCTAATTGCAGTGAGAAATAGGATTTTAGTTATTTCAGAAGTTCCTCCCTGAGGCAAAGATAGGCTTCCAGAAATATTAGGAGTTCATGCCAATTTTAGAGAATAATCAGATCTGTAACAGCTTCTGCCTACAACTCACCATTTACTTCGTTAATCCACCAGTGTACAATTTTACATAGATGCCAGTGAGGTACATACAGTTACACTGTTTTGTGTCTTGCCTTTTTTTTTTGAGAATCTGAGGTTTGAAGTCAGGGCTTCATTTTTGCAAAGCAGGTCCTCTACTGCTTGAGCCACACCTCCAATCCATTTTGCTCTCGTAATTTTGGAGATTGGGGGGGGGTCTCTCGAACTATTTGCCTGGGCTGGCTTTGAACCTTGATCCTCCTGATATCAGCCCCCAAATAGCTAGGATTATAGGCATGAGCCACCAGCTCCCAGCTTGTATCTTTTTTGTTGTTGTTGTTTTGTTTTGTTTTGCAGTACTGGGGTTTGAACTCAGGGCCTTCAACTTAAGCCACTCCACCAGTCCTATTCTGTGATGGGTATTTTCAAGATAGGGTCTTATGAACTATATGCCCGGGATGGTCTCAAACCTCAATCCTCCTGATCTCTGCCTCCCGGGAAGGTAGGATTACAGGCCTGAGCCTCTGGCGCCCAGCACATCTTGCTTTTAAAATCATCTAACATGCAGCTTTTCTACAAAGATCATTATATCAATTATTTTAAAGAATTATATTGTCTTCTATCATATTGAAATGTCAGTTTATTTAGCTACTCTATTGCTTGCTTTTTAAATCCTGTACAAGTTATTTTTTGTTTAGCTGTTATGAAGAAGAGCTTTATAGGTAAAGTTATATGTATTGTCATATAGTTAACTCAGCCTATCTTTTTTTTTTTCCACAAAAGATTTAAGAAAGATGAGTTAAAATAGTTATTTTTGGTAGTACTTGCAGTTGAATTCAGGGCTTCATGTTTGCTAGGCAGGCACGCTACCACTTGAGCCAAGCCACCAACTCTAAAACAATTCTTTTGCATTATAGTTCAAAATTACTTTTTTAAAGCTTTGTTTTATAGATTTTTATAGTGTTTGAGATTGGGCTGTAGACACTAGACAATTTTACCATACTCTGAAATTTACACTTATGTTTGTGTAGCCTTGGCTACTAATTGATTTAGCTATTTTTTAGTTTGCTAGGTAAAAACATATTAAGTTTATTAAATTTGTATCTTTAAATGATATGCTTTTCATATATATTGGCATAAATACCTATCCGTATTTCCTCGTTTTAAACTATGCATCTCTATTATTAGCCAGGTAGAATCTAGAAATTGATTATGTATTTATAACAATTCTTTGTGTATTTAAAGATACTTTCCATATATAATTTTCCCATTCTGTGGCTTTTCTTTTAATTTTGGTTTTTTATTTCATAGCACAAAATATTTTTCAGAATTTACATATTAAACTGTCCTTCTTGTCTCTGAGATCTATTTCACAACTTGTGGGACTTAGCTGGGATCCATTGTTACTCTTGTGTTTTTACAATAATTTTTTACTTGCCCAGGCTCCAGATTTACAAAAATACGTATCTAAAGTGAGTGTCACAGGAACAGTGAGACCTCACTTAGGTATTAGTCCTCTTTTCTAGGCCAGATGTTAACTTCCTGGGTGACCTCTTATCCCTTTTTCTCACCAAAGACTCAAAGGACCAGACCAGGGAGGGTTGGAGGTAGTTTTAGAGGACAGATGTGCAGCACTAATTAGTCACGGCACCCACAGTTTTGGAGTTGGGAAGGGCCCCTGAATCTGCAGCTCCAGTGTGGCCATTTTCTCATGAGCTGTCAAGTCAATGCCCTGCCAGTGGGACCTCTTGTGAAGCACCTGGGGCAACAAGTGTCCTCAAGACCACACCTCCAGGGTGGAATTCCATTCTGGGATAATTTGGGGAGAGGGGCACAAAAAGCAGCTAGAATCACAGGTCCTCACTTGGGAGCCACCCTTGTAAGTCCCCACTTTCCTTGCAGGCCTCAGATTCAGGTCAGCACCTTCCCAAGCCACCTGGGCTTCTTGGCCAGCAAGGCCTTACCCGAGCCTGGCAGATCCTTCTTGGAAGCCCCAGTGCAAGCTAAGCAGCGCTCAGGTGGGGGAATTAAGGGAGGTATGCAGAAAGGGCCCGTTAATTTTTCCCGAACTTCAAAGTCCATTCTAGGCACAGGACCTAAACCCATTTGCAGGAACCACAGAGAGCAGTGGGGACTTCCTGTAGTCACCCTTCCTCCCTCCCCTTAACTCCTTTTCAGAGCTGGTTCCGCTTTGTTGGTGGGGACTGAAGGTGAGCATTCTTCTTTGCGGTCCTGTGGGTGATCTTGGGAAAGGCTTTGGTCAGTTAGTTCAGTTTCACCAGGGCAAGGAAAGGGGTGCTAAAATGAATCCTCTGTCAAGCCCAGTCACCTATTCAAAGACTAGCAAAAGTTTCATAGAGGACAAACACGCTAGTCTCTACTCTTGCCTGTAGGTGAGGGGACCAAGACTTACCCCGGTGGGTAGGCCTCGGGCGCAAGTGTTGTTACTCCTTTTGTGTCGTAATATTTAGATTAGCTGGGTGTGGTGTTTCATGCCTTAATCCCAGCACTTGGAGGGTGAGGTAGGAGGATCTCGAGTTCAGTACTAGCATGGGCTAAATAGCAAGACCCTTTCTCAAAAAAATTTATGTATATACGTGTGTGTGTGTGTGTGTGTGTGTGTGTGTGTGTACACGCACACATATATCTGGAGAGAGCACAGAGAGACAGGTTAAAAAGCTGTCTTTTGATCTCCTACCTTACACAAGTCACAGGCTGGTCTGAGGGCCTAGTTGGGAGTCCTCCCAGCAAAGTGCTCTAAGGCCTGAACTTGCCATGTTTGTCAGCTCACACTTGTGGTGGGTCATGTGAGAAACTGAGATTCCAAGCTGGTGCAGCACCACTAAGCACTCTTATGTGTATCTTGACTCTGCATTTCTCCCTTTTGGAATTCAGAGTGCTAAGCCCCGGCTGGACTGCTTGATTGAAGTGTACAGGAGCTGCCAGGAGATTTTGGCACACCAGAAAGCCACAGCAACACACCCATGAATTCCAGCATTCAGAAAGCCATTACTGTCTTCATGGAAGTTTGTGTGTTCATCAAGTGAACAGTCCTAGGAACCAGAATGGATGCACTGGATCTCACAGCCATAGAACAGGTGACTAGAATTTGATTCAAATTATTTCTGTGGATGACAGTGTTCCTCTTGTAAGGTTTTGCCTACTTCACTAATTGAGGGGATCCCTTAAGAATTTTGACATGAGGTGTCAAAAGTAATGTCAGCAAAGAGCATTTTGTGAAATTCCTAAGCACATTTAACTTTGTGTTAAAATTTGTGGAGAAAGACATTGGCAAACTGGTATAATTTCCACCTGCAGAATATCTCTATATAAAAGTAAAGAGGAAAATAGTTAAACTCTTCAGGTACCGGTTAGCAGGAATAAGCAGCCTACAAAAGACTAGTATCTGTCCATGCAGCTCTTGTTCTCTGTACAGGCTTAATTTATGATGACTCTTTTTATTAATAAACAGACAAAAACATACACAATAATTGCCTGATTCATGTATAGCTGTTTTTTATTGACAAACATGATCACAGCATTTAAGTTATGGGTGTCAAATACATTAATACATATCTGTTACCCAGCATCTTCTACTGTTCCAAAAGCTGCCTTTGCCAAGAGGGATGAAATAAAATTAGAGGACAAAAATTTGACTTTGGGTTCCAGATGTTGGTCTCATGTTGAAGGAGAAACAAACTATAGAAGCCTTTGTTGCTAAAGCAGTTTTTTCTGTATAAAAGTTAACAAACTAAGAGAAGATTATTCCTGAAGGGTCAGGAAGAAAGATGGTGAGGAAAATAGTTTCACCCCCAACTTCAGTATTAACACAGCTCTGTTCTTACTCTTTATTTGCAACCATATTTAAGAAAAACTGCCTAGGTAGACAATATCCGTGCTGGCCTTAGAGACACTCAGGATGTAAAAACAGAGCTGTAATCTCTTTTACATCAGCCCTGGAGGGGTTTTTCAGGAGTCTGTGGTACTTGTGATGTATGACTTGTTTGAGGTAGAAATATTTCAACTAGATTCCCAAATCCTCTGCAAGGGGGGAAACAAATGGCTAAAAATTGGCTGCCTTGTAAAGGCAAGTTCATTTTAAAAAGGCAAACTCTCATGCCTCTTTTTTCATCACACTTGCCAGTTTAAAAGGCAAGGGGAAGCTTATAGCAGCTAGATAAATTAGTTCCAGCCTTGTAGTTTTTCGCAGTGCATGACACAAGCACATTGTTGGAGTTAAAAGCTTAGTTCTTGGATGTTTCTGCTAAGTCCACAGTTTTCAGTATGTTACTGACAAATGGTAAGATTGCCTTCGAGCTGTTAAAAACTCAAGTTTCTCAAATGCTGGAAAATCAGTATGAATTCTTGGGTTTTTTTGCAGGGGAGGGTGGAGATACAGCTCATTTACCTCACACTTAATTAGAAGGTCTGAGTTGAAGGCAATTATGTTTTCAGGAAGGCAAAAGGTAAAAGAAACTTTCTACTTCTTTCACCTAAAGCTCGTAGACTATGGCAGATATCACATACATGCCCTGTGCCTCCAACCTCATTCCCAGTGGGAGTTTGCCAGAAGTCTCTAGGAGCACACCCAGGCCTTTAAGGAGGTGGAGGGTCTTGTGTTCCTGACTTGTCTTCCATGGCCTCAAAAGCAGCAAAAATCAGAGGGCATTTACTTGATCTTAGAGAGCAGGGAGACATTGATCACCTTGTCCTTCAGTGATGAGCACAACTTTCATTATCTGGGCATTAAAATGAGACAAGACAGGGAGATGTACTTATCCCTGCTCTTGCCTGGGTGGTGTGTGAAGGTACTAGGTTCAGCTTATTGTCCAGTATGAAGGAAACAGCTTGAATCTTAGCAGTGTTGCCCTGCAAAGATCAGAGCAACTGTCCTAGAAGGGGCATTACAAATGCCTACTCACCAGTAAAGGGGAAAAGTTAGTCCACTCCTTTTCCTCCAGGCCAGCCAATCCCTTTGCCACTTGAGAAAGGAACTGCAGTTTTTAGTGAGTTGTAAGCACTTGTCAAAGTACAGGTGAATTAGAAATTTTAGTCCTATTCTGTCAGAGATACTCAGAAGACTTCAAGTATAACCCCACATAAGGACCATATACAATATAAAAAATATGAGCTTCCCTGAGAGTTATCAGTGCAGAAGCCCCAAATACAACACTGCTGCCTTCAGTAACAGTGGGCTATCCTTGTCTAAGTCTAGAATCAGGTAACATCCAGAGTCAGTATTTGAAAACAAACAGTAAGTGGTTTTAACACTAGGTCTGGATTTTTAAACATTGGGCCCTAAAACATTGTAAGGCACCTAGAGAGTAAAGGCTCCATAGACCCTGAAATACACATTTCACAGAACAATTGGAGGAGTGAGTTAGACTCATCACAGTAGTATCAAACCCTAGGATATAAATCTAATCCCAGAGGCACCAGTGGTGGTAGGAAATGGGTAGGAGAAATATTCACAGCAATGTTGGCCCTTTAGTAGTACAGGAAACAGAAGTGAAGAACTGTCCATCCAGTTCCCAGGGCTGGTGGGCTGTGGGTAGGTTGGTGGGTGGGGTCACGGTTGCAGAGCAATGGTTCATGTAGCTGGCCATGATGAAGGTAGCTTCTGCAATCTAAGGAGGTTAGAGAAGTGAAGGCATTGACTAGCTTGGCCTGAGTGCTGACTTTTTTACTGGCTGTGACATTGAGTACATAACTGTTCTGGGCTTTAGCTTCTCTCTTAAACTATCCACCTGGGAGAAAATGTTCAAAGGAATCAAGGTTGTGGGGTTCCGGGGCCGTGAAATGGGCCCTCTGTTCATCTAGAGGTCCTCCAAGATGCGCAGTATCCTCTTGAGAAAAGGAATAGTAGTGGCCGGACCAGAGTAAAGTCCTCCAAGTAGTCTCCCTACCAGTTTAGTAGTGACTCTGATGCTATGCTGTGCTGATTACACATAAAGCCAAAGATTTTATTTGGGGGCAGGGGCCCTTCTGGAGTTTCCTATCTACCAGACCAGAGTAAAATGTAGCATCTGTTAGACCCACCTTGGGAGCAGCCATCTGGAATGTCAACTTCTCTATATGGCCTTCTCCAGAGCTCTGGTCTGTAATGGATCTAATCACAAGCATGAAGTCATCCTTGCAGCCACCAAAGGTTGTCACTGAAGAGTAGGGGTAAGTGATGTGCACTTGCTGTGAGAAAGGAACCAGTGAGTTTGGGGAAACTTTCTACCTATTTCTTCTACAAATAGGTAGCCTTAACCAGGAAGGGAGAAGGTTGTCAGTTTGGAGATCTACATTTTGAATGTCTATACACTGTGTCTAGACTAGAGGACAGCACTGCTTGGGCAGGGTGTGAAAGTAGGGGAACCATGCTCACTTAGCCCAGGCCTTTGAGTCCAGAGAGAAGAGGACAAGACAGTGTTCAGGAGGAAGAGGGGCTGGAGCCAGGCTTCCTCCTTCCATACCATAGTGTGGTGGTCCAGGATGCTGACGCCATCCTCATTCACAGCAATCCACACCAGAGTGTCGTCCTTGGAAGACAGCTGGGCAGGCTGTGGAAGCAACCCAAACACAGCTACAGTTAGAGATTCTGAATTGTGAGGACTTTCTGAGGATAAAAGATTTGCTAGGCAGTGATTTTCAATCACCTCATCCTGGAAAACACAGAAAATGGCATTTGTACAGCATATGGTATGATCAAACAAGGCTGTTTGTGTCTGGTCTTGGGGCTCTGGCTACCTAACCACCCACAGAATACTGAATAGAAAGCTCTGAGCTATGGAATAAAGGTAAGACTGCAGGGGCTCTATTATTTGCATGGGGAACAGGCATTTTCTCATGGCTCTCCAAAAAAAACAGTATTTCACCCAGTCTCTCTCAGCTGAAGTGATCTTGCTTCAAAGTCCTAGGAACTATAAAAGAAATAGAGCAAGTATGCAATCTTACGGCCTTTAGGCATTACCAGTGAGTGTATGACTACTGATCATATATCAGTGTATTGGTGGATATTGCATGCCAGGGCTATAGTAAGGTAATCCAGAAGACCACTCAAAAACATATATAAAAATTATATAATAATATATACACCAGGGCTGGGGATAGCTCAGTGGTAGATCATATGCTTAGCATAAACAAGGCCCTGGTTTAATCCCCAGCACTATCCCCCCACCCCCTGCCAAAAAAAAATAAAAACAGAAGAAGACAGAAAAAATAACAGATATGTGTTTTATAATTAATGAGCATCTTCCCCACTCTAGTGGGGAAGCTTCATGAAGGCAAAGATTATGATTTATTCACTTCCTTTTTTTTTTTTTGGTGGGACTGGGGTTTTAATTCAGCGCTTTGCACTTGGAAAGTAGGCACTCTACCACTTGAGCCACACCTTCAGTCCCTTTTGCTCTGGTTATTTGGAGATGGAGGTCTCACAAACTATTTGCCTGGGCTGGCCTTGAACTGTGATCTTCCGGATCTTAGCCTGCCAAGTAGCTAGGATTACAGATGTGAGCCACCAGTGCCTTATAACCTCAAACTAGCACTAGACATACTAGGAGTTCAACTGCTTGTTGGATGAATGAGTAAATGTCCATTTTCTCATCTGCAACTTAAGCAAACAGCACCATGATATAGCTTAATGTCTGTGATTATAATGTCTGGTCACAGGATAATGTCTGTGATTATCTGTAAAGTTCATGTACAGCAGACACTTAGTAAGGAAAAGTTGGAACTGAAATTACTATTGGCTTCCTAGCCTTCATGCAGCAGTGAAAAGAAAGCACTTGAGAGGGTGTTATTTCAAGTCTGAATCCTCCTGTGTGAATTAGTTGATCCTGTCTTTTTTTTCAGGAGTAACATTGACAAGTCAATAAAGAAAACATGTAGATAATCAATGAATCACAACTGTGCTCTGGATCACAGAAATCTGTAGTAGGCCAGAAATGGGTGGAGAGATGGCGACACCTGGTGGTTGGTAGTGTGGAGGCAGGAAGGGGCAATGCAGACTGAACTACTGAAACATGACCACAAAGGGAGGGCAGCTTCAGAAGAATTTAGGACATTCTGAGGATGTGGGCTGCTTCTTCCACTGGCACTCACCTGAGCAGTAAAGAGCTTAGCACCAAAGAAAGGCCATTTTCGAGCCACAGTTAGGTAGATGCGGATGCACTCAGGTGGGGAGCAGCCTTGCAATGCTGCCCATTTTGTTGTCAGATTATCTGCCAGGTGCCTGATTTAGGTGGAGAGAAATGGTGCCAGTGAGGTACCAACCTGTTTTCATCACAGCTCTGAGGCCTCCCCACCGTGACCCCGTAAGACCTTGCAGCCTACCTACCTTATCTGTTCAGGGGGGGCCCCATGTCTGTAGCGTCTTGGGTAGAACCTGTCTAGGACCTGCTGGAGGAGATGCTGAGCCTTGGCAGGGGGTGTGCCCCCAGGGCATGGCAGGACAGGTTTCTCAAAGTCCCCATATTCTACCTGTGATAGGAACACATGAGAGCAGTTATGAGTCTGGGGGTAGATGGGGCTGGTGGGTGCTGATGGAGAGGTGAATTAAACCATTACATTACTTTACTGGTGGGTATGCACGGATGATGTGAAAAACACTTGTGAACAGACCCTTTATCCCAACTTCCATAGACATTAGAGAAGCAACCATAGGGTCCTAGAATAATAGATTGTCTAGACCAACTCTCATTTAGCAGCTAAGTGCCTTATCTAAAAACAGTTAATTAGTGGCAGATGAGTAAAACAATGGAAATTCTAGTTTCCAAACCAAAAATAGGAGCTACAAGATGGAAGATGTTATATTAAAGAACAGTAAAGTCATACACCTGTTTCAAATCCCAGCTCTGCCACTTACCAGCTCTGTGTCCCTATTTAAGTTACTTGGAAGTTACCTGTGCCTCAGTTTCCTCATCTATGTGGTAATGAGCTACGTGGGAAAATACATATGAAAGCTTAGCACAGGGCCCACTGTGGAATATTCATACTGATGACTATGATTATGAAGATCCACTATTATTATTCCCCTTTCTCTCCAGCCTATAGATCCAGACTCTTATGGGAACTATAGAGACAGCCCAGATACCTCTGGCAAGACGGCCTCCTGAAGTTAATAGAAATGTTGGATGGTTCACAAATTTTAGCACACATATTATGGGATATACATTTTCCAAGTATTATACTTACTACAACTTGTGGAGGCAGGTAGGGAAGTATTTGTGGGTTTTAGTACAGTGAAGAACACAAAGCACAGAGAAGTGGAGTGACTTAGCCAAGATCTCATATTAGAGGAAGGCTAGGTCTCAAACCCAGATCTTGGATTCTCAGCCCCCATTCTGCACACAGCCTGTACCTGCAGTGGTCAAAAAGCTCTACTATGTAACAAAAGTCACCTCTTCTGAGTGCCACAGGATCTGAAGAATCTCTTGTTTGGGACTGGGAGTCCAAGATAGTGTCCTGACCCTCCTGCTCCCTGAACAGACAGAACCTTACCTGGGCCATCAGGGCAGCCATCTCAAGAGCCAGTTCCTTGTTGACTGGAAATCTCCCCGCCACTATCTCTCCACTAGTTTGAGAGGCGAGCAGCAGCCGCTCTCGTTCTGTCTCCCCCTTGACTTGATTCCGAAAGTACAGCCTACAGAGAAGACAGCAAGAAAGCCCAGTCTCAGCTGAACTGAGAAGAGAGGCTCTTTTCCTGAATATGCCAAGGAGGCAGTGCTGTGGGGATCTTGTCCCCAAATCCAGAGGCTTTCTCTGGATCTGTTTATCTTGATTTCCAAAACAAGAAACTAGTTTTTCTACCATTTGTGAGCCTATTTTCTGTGGTCCCTCAAACTTGTAACCAAGTGTGACACTCAGCAGATGCAGAGCCGTACTTCTACACACAGTAGCATGTGGTTAATTCTGACTACATCTGACTTACTGCCTTTAGCAAGGGGAATCTAGTACCTGGAATCAGAGCTTATTAGGGGACTAGATGAGTTAAGATTCCAGGAGAACAACAGAAATTATTTGCCTGGAGACATGCTAGGATGGAGTTTTCATACTCAAATTAATAGAAAGGATGTCTACTTGTGTATTTCCTGGAATTAGTAAATAGGAGATATTTATTCCTTAGCCTCAAATACCTGATGCTCATACAAAGTCATACTGTCATATGGCAACATGGGCAGCCTTCCATGAGGTTGGTGTGTTTTTGTGTGTGGGGTAATATGTGTGTGCACGCGTGCACGCAAATTCAAGAGCAGGGCCAGCCTGGGTCAGTTGATTACCACCATGCAGGATAGTATCTGCAAGACCCTCAGCCTGTCCAGGACAGGTCATTCAGTTGATGAGCTAGCACTCTCATATCTTCCCACCCTTGGGCAGCACTCAGGACCTGCTCTTGTACATCAGCTTCACGACGCGTGTTCCACCCTCAGACTTTCCAGGGTGCAGCTCCTTCAGGGCTTGTTCCCACTTGGAGATGGCATCACAGATCTTAAAGAGGCAAAAGAGGAAAGCTAGAAAACCCCTCCATGAGATCAGCTAGAGCTGGTCTTGGGCGGAGCAGAGTGAGGGGCCTCCTATCAGAAGGCTGCCCTGTAGGGCCTCACAGTCCAAAGGACCCAAAGTGACTGCTCCCTCACTGATGGTGGGGGTGCCTGAACATGATGAGCAGCAAAGCAAGGAATGCTGCCCTACCAACCTAAGGGTCAGGGGGCATAAGCCTCCTCAGAAGCTAGGCATGGCCCTGTCTAAATCCGTATCACTCATATTACTGGTTCCATTTCCATTCCATTGGCCAATAAATATATCTGAAGGCCCACTGAGTAACAAAGCCTTACAGAGGCCCAGACATTAACACAAAAGATACATGGCAGTTTTCCATGCAATGGTGAAAGACTAGAAGCCTTTGTCCTGGTGCCATAAAGAAAACAAATACTGGAGTCAGATACACTCATCTAGTGTGATAGCACATTCCCATAAACACTTCACACCTATGGCACTAACCACAGAGCACAGTACAGATCAGTTGTAAATCCCATTCAAGGGCCTTTACCCAAATAGGTACCATGAGGGCTGCTTTCTTAAACCATGGTTAGAGCTACAAGTGCAGCATAAGCCCTGGCAGATGGTGAAAGTGGGGTGCTGGTGTACAACATGGTGTCCACTGGGTTTAGGCTATAGCTGTCCACCTGCGTGGACAGATGCAACTGGTGGTAGGCTGGGTGGGCCTCCCTACCCCTACACTAAACTGAGAAGAGGCTCTGCTCCTGGATATTGCACTTAAGGGAGGAAAGGCTGTGGCGATCTTGTCTGCAGATGGTTACATGGAGATTTGCTCTGTCTATACAGGTACATTTTAGGATGGTGCAGAACCAGTAAGCACCTTGGTCTCAGCACCGTCAGGTTACTGAACAGTCAGGAACCTGCCAGATGCACTCAGTCCCAACCACCTACATCCCTGAGCTGGAAGGTGGCTAATCAGGGAAGCTGTCACCTTTACACTCCCCTGCAGGCAATGCTCCAGATCTCTGCCAGAAGGATCATCTGTGAAGAGGGCAAAGCCAGAGTGGGATGACTTCCTCATGCCTGTCTCCTGGTTCAGTCGCTGGAGGAACTCATCAACTGTAGAGGAGCCATCAAAACCAACCACCTAGTGGAAGAGAGATGAATTGAACCAGACTGAACTTCTGAGGAGCTCACTAGGGATCCTGGAGGGATCTGAGTACAGCAGATGGGAAGGAGCAATGGTGAAAGCTGAGAGGCCAAAGCCAGTTGGTTTCTTTATTCATATATAGAGGACCAGTCATAAGGAATCTGAGTCCACCCACTGTAAGCTGGAACTGGTTAGAGGCTTAGTCCGTTTTTTCCTGTCATTCTTGAGGGCTCTGTCTCATGCCACTTTCTTGGTCAATGTCTCATGTTCATAAAATGTCCCTGTTCATACAATAGGTTCAAAAGACCTACTTCCAGGGCACCAAACAATGAAGCACTTTTGTGACTCAAGTTCCTTTCTCCTTACACATTCACACTAACCATCCCTCCCACCCCAAATCCTAGGCCCATTCCTTTTGCTGGTTTGCCTATTAAGAATCTGAAAGCTGGCCAGGTGTGGTAATACATGTCTGTAATCCTAGCTATGTGGGAGACATAGGAGGATCATGGTCTGAGACCAGCCCCAGCCAGCAAGACCGTATCCAAAAAGTCACTAGACAGACATTGGTGGCTCATTCCTATAATCCTAGCTCCCTAGGAAGCAGAGATCAGGAGGATCACAGTTCAAAGCCAGCCCAAGCAAATCGCTCTCAAGACCCTATCCCAAAAAAATCCTTCACAAAAAAGGGCTGGTGGAGTGGCTTAAGGTGTGGGCCCTGAGATCAAAACCCAGTACACACAAACACACAAACTAATGCAAGAAGGGCTGGGGGCATGGCTCAAGTAGTGGAGTAACTGCCTAGCAAGAGTGAGGCTCCAGTACTTCCAAGAAAAAATCTGAACGTCTAAGGAGTCTTGTCACACACCTGGCCCAGAGGTGCTCTCTGGACAGTGATAGAAGTCACAGGGCAGGCCCAACCTCCTTACCTGGTAAGTCCCATTGGCAAAGTGCACAGGGATGCTGAAGGGCAAGGAGTGGTGGAAAGGGTTTCTCAGTAAGATGGACACCACTTCCATGCGTGATGGCCTGGCCTCCCTCTCCCCTGCCTGCAGGGTCCGCTCCACTGCCCGCTGGCAGTAGGTGGCATATTGGCCAGTTTCATTTCTAAAAAGGGGAAGGAAGAAGGGAATACCAGGGACTCTGTTCATCCTTGCCTCTTTGGTACCTGGGGTGCGTATATAGACTTAGCTAGGACTAAAACTGTAGCTGGACAGATAGTGGGAAAATCTCTGAAGAGTCTGGTGTAGGTGTTAATTTGTCATTGAGGTCCCATCTCCAGCAGGTTGTTGGCATGGATGTTTTCTTGCAGAAGCCAGAAGAATATGACAACAGAGAATGAATAATTGGGGACAATTTGGGGGATGCATGGCTTCACATGACAGCCCCCAGAAAATACCCAAGGACACATGGCTTAGTATACAGAGAAGCTTAGGCATGCTAGGATCTCCACGTGCTGATTTGTGTGCACAGTGAGGGGTGAAGTTTCCTTACCCTGAGCAAATCTCAGAGGGGAGGAGCAATCTATTCAATTTAACCTGCCCCTTCTCATCCCTCTTAATTATGCCACAATCAGTAGTGCCAGCGTGGCAGAGGAAATGCATTCACTCACCTGGGATCAGCGTGGCGTTGGAGCTGCTGTTTGACATACCAGAGGAAGTGATGCTGAGGTAGGAAGAGTGGGGCACAGAGAGCCAGGAGCTGCCAGCACTGCCATTGGACAGTCATTGTGGTGTGAGGCCTGAATGTGCAGTGCCCCCAGCCCTCACATCCCTAAGCAGCACAGCCTTCAGTCTCTTCCCCCACACCAGATTCCCCCACCCTTCTGTGAGTACTGGGATGGCTACTTTATCAGGCTTTGTCCAGAATGGCAATTGCACAGCTGGATTATGCATAGAAAGGGCAGCTATACTGAGGTAGCTTGGAGCATGGAGGTTGCCCACTGGCTTGGCTCAGAGCACACCTGCCCAGGTACCTCCTTCCACCTTTTCCACCTTGTGGGCAGCCCTTGCGAATGGTTCCATTCAGCTTTCTATCCCCAGGGGGTGCCTACCTGCATGCGAGAATACTTCTGAGGTGGGCGGCAGGTGGTCTGCTTAATGAGCTGACAGTAGATCTCACTCTGCAGTTCAGGGTGAACCAGGCAGACCTGCAGTGCCGTCTGGGCCAGGGACACGTGGTAGTCCACTGAGGCGGCCTCTACAGGCACGTTGATGAAAAGCTGGCAGGACTGGAAGGAGAAAGACAGTAGACACAGGCAGACAGCCTGTTGGTTATTGTCCTGACATGCAGTGCTGTCTCTGGCAATCAGAGCCTCAAGGAACACATTCACTGTGGACAGTCCTTTCTAAGAGGGAACACAATTACTGTTTGCAAGGCTGAAAGGGCCTACTTTGGACAGAATCTTGAAATCTTTAAATGTTTCCATTACATAAGCCAAGACATAAGCTTGCCTGTGAGCAAATTCATTGTTTCTTTTTTGGGGGGACTGTGGTTTGAAATCAAAGTTTTGTGCTTGCAAAGCAGATACTCTACTGCTTAAGCCATACCTTCAGTCCATTTTGCTGTGGTTATTTTGGAGATGGGGTCTTGTGAACTGTTTTCCTGGGCTGGCCTGGAACTGTGATCCTCACGATCTCAGCTTCCCAAGTAGCTAGGATTACAGGGGTGAGCCACTGGGCACCTAGCTTTTTTTTTTTTTTTTTTTTTTAAGATCTTGCTGTGTAGCCCTGACTGGTCTTAAATTCATCATCCTCTTGCTTCAGCTTCCTGAGTGCCAGGATTATAAGCATGTGCCACACACCTGGCCCCTAGCAAATTCTTTTCTTTTTTTTAAATATAAAACAGGCTGGGCACTAGTGGCTCATGCCTGTAATTCTAACTACTCAGGAGGCAGAGATCAGGAAGGATCACAGTTCGAAGCCAGCCTGGGCAAACAGTTCATGAGACCCTATCTCGAAAATGAACACAAATAAGATTCTAAAATAGGTCAGAATCTCTAAGGTCCAGAAGCAATGTGCACCTGGCCTTTCCTGCTATTACTTTAGCAGGAGGGAAGCTCAAGGGAGAGTTTTCCTGACATTTCTCAAGGCCCCAAAGCCTTCTCCCTACTTGCAGGAGGTTTACATTGCTGCCATAAAGAAAGTCGTGAGGATCATATGGAAATTTCTTTCCTTCCTCCCTGGATCCCCATGGGCTACTCCCTAAACACATAGGTCTCCTTTACCGTGTATCACTGTAGTGGGCTCGAGCTGCTTCAGGAGTGTGGAGTGTGGACACTGATGGTGAGTGGATCTGGGTTCTGCTCCCACTTTACCTTAAAGAGTTTGAGGGCCTCCGTCTGCAGGGCCTCGGAGGGCAGGGTGGTGAGAGAGGTGCACAGCCCATCTCTGCTGTAGCACAGCATAGGGTGCTTCCAGAGGGGGGAGTCTGCCCAAAGCACAGATGAGAGAGCAGTGGCAGTCATTATAGAGGAGGGAATTCACTTCCCACCCTCCTAGTTCCAGCTTCGAATTGTGGGAGTGACAGTGGCTTAACGCTCCAAGAAACCTGGGTTGTTCTGGGTTTATTGTCCAAAGGCTGTGTGTGTGATCTGCACACACTTGCAGGCATGGCTGTACAGGAAGGCAGCCACCAACCTGCTGTGGAGCTGCAGTAGAGGTTGAGTAAGTGTGTCTGAGAATAATCATATGAGTGCAGGAAAGGGCCTTCCTTACAGTGTCAGGTCTAGTTAGAAGAGCATAAGTATCTGTTTGAAATGGACAAATGGAGCAGTAGTAAAGGGGTGAGAGTTGAGTGTGACAGAATTTGGTTTCCGAGAGCCCTGAGAATCAATAGCAAAATAAGGATCCATAGAGCCTAGGCTTACATTAGCCTGACCCAGATTTAGGCTTCATTCATTGATTAACAAACTCTGACTATAGATTAACCAACTGCCTTTTATCTTCAGTTCTCTGCCCACCCAGAAAAGCTGCAGGTTGTACAGAGTAAAACATTTACCCAGGTAAATGTTGTCTGGGGAATTTCCCAGACAAACTCCCCCAGATAGAGTGGTGGTCACCTCAGGATCTTGACCAGAGACAGGGGGCCCCAGAGAGTGGGAGGGAACTCCTCTCTGTGGCTGAGACATGTTTCATAGCTTCTAGGTATAGTAGTGCTTTCTTTGGGTTCTTGAACAATAAATACCTAGCCACCACCCTGCAACACATGCAGTGACGGCCACGCCATTCTTGCCTTACCTGGGTCTCCTTCACTATCCATCAGTTTCCCAATGAGCTGCTCATAGGCAGTGCCCACCTTGGCACTGCTACCTCCTGCAGCCACAGTAAGATGGTAAAGCCATGTATCCTGGAAGAGGGTGGAAAGCTGTCAGGGTAGGAAAGGTAGAGGCAAGGGTGGGGTTCAGGACTGGGGGTTTAGCTCAGTGGTAGAATGCTTGCCTAGCATGTGTGGGCCCTGGGTTCCATCCCCAGAACCACAAAAAAAAAAAACTACAATTTTAAGCTGGACAGGGCAGGGTTTCAGCATTTGGGAGGTTGAGCCAGAAGTATTGTCAGTTCCAGGCCAGCCTGGCCTATATAGTCTTGGGGTGGCTGGGGTAGGGGAAGGATGGTGGGTTTAGCTAGTTTGGATGGCGTGAGTCAAAGCCACATTTTCAAGTATGTGGCTTTATGCAGAGAAGCTGGTAAAGGAATGAATTTAATAAAAAGGAATATTCCTATTCAGAGAATATTAGCCAAAGTGTTTTAAGAGGGAAAAGGGAGAAGGGAAGATCAGAACATAGTTCCAAGTTGGCTGTGGGGGCCCACCCCGCCCCTTACCTTTTCATGTTTAGTGCCTATGAGAAGGTAAGTGGGGCTGTGCTCCAGTGGGTGGATCACCAGGGTGCAGTGGGAAGAGAGCAATCGTCCAGTTCCTCCAGCCTCATAGTCCTCATCTGAATCACAGGATCGATCTACTTCCTTTATGTGAGCATCCTGCACAGGCAGACGACCCAGGGGTCTCTGTGGACATAAGCCTTCCATGAATGGGAGAGCTGGGGAGTCAGAGGAGTCTCCTCTCTCTGAACCCTTAGGCTCAGTAGGGCTGGGGATCATGGATGTGGACAGATAGCAGGATGTAGGAGGTAGAGGCTGCAGAAGCCAGGCTGGGAGCAGAATGAGGCCACATAGGCCACTCACACTGGTCATGTGCTTTGGCCAGATGGCTTCTGTACTACTTGTGGGGTTTGATGGGGTAAAGGGTGAAGCTGGGGTCTGCTATCAGTATGTGGGGCCATAGTTAAATGGTTTGAGGGAAGCAGGAGAGCAGGTGCCATCGGGAAGCCAAGGAAGTACCTTGTCTTCGTAGCTCCGGTAGTAGTAGAAGGTTTTCCCAACAAGAGCACACCAGACCAACTTGGAGTGTCCATGCTTTACCTGTAAGACAGAAGTGAACTAGCTTCATTAGAATCAGGCACACCCCCTCCCCACAAATAAATCAAGAACTAGCAAAGAGAAGCCACAGGAAGACAGGTTCTTAGTAGAGATGCTATTCATTACTAATGAAACCCCTTTCACAGTAAGATCACCATAGTGGCTACCATGTGACACCCCAGCCACCCCTGGGCCATGTAGTAACTATAAACCTGCTACTGAAAGATTAACCAAGACAATCCAATGCATCCCCTAGGAAAATGAGCATGGGAAGAACTTGCTGGCTGGCAGAGGCCAGGGTTGTCAGGATGCCACATGGTAGGTAAGTGCCATGGCAGCCATAAATCACAGGAGAACAGAAAGCACACACAGGCAGAGTAGGAGGAGGGCACAAACACAGACTTGAAGGAGAAAGCCTGGGAGCCCTAAGCTTGCAGAGCTCAAGTTGCTTTGGTTCCTCATGGCATTCTGGCCCCATTAATGTGCTTCCTTGTTAATTTCCCTTGCGGTTAGCAATGCTTGCTCTGTTGTTTGCTACCAGAAGAACCCCACCTAAAATGTCTTTAGAACAGGCCTGGGATACCTTCAATCTCTGAATGGCAACTATACCCACCTCAGGTCCCTTCTTCCTATTGTTAACCCTGAGGCATGGTGGATACGATGTAGGGGGCAACTCCTAATGACCTCAGAGTAGGTAAAATCATTCCATTCCCTTCCCTCCTGTCTTGAGAACAACCGTCCTAATAACCCTGACCTCTTTTTCCAGGGAATCACCACCTTACCTTGTGTGGTCAGATCATGTTTTAAGGTTAACCACTGTAAAAAGTTCTGGAGAAAGGAGCTGTGGATTCTTTGGCACTCCCACACCTGATTCCGCATTCCCCCCCAATATCCCCATCCTGTACCTTGGTCAGCCAGCCCTTCACAGTGGGTTTGGTACTCCCCTGAGGCAGGGGCAGAGGTCCAGTGGCCTGCACCTTCAGCAGGTTCTGTAGGACCCGGATCCACTCTTCCAGCAGGCTGGGTGAATCTGCTGTCAGGTAGTATGTTTTCTTCTCAGAGATGAGCTGTAGAGGGTGAGGGATTGGGGCCAGAAGCAGCAAGGCAGGCTGAGGAGGCAGAAATCCCTGAACCCACTAGGTCTCCCTTCCTCCTAGCCCACTTCTCCCTCCCTTCTTTTCCTTTGTATCTTTCCTACCTTCACTCCATCTCTTACATTCTGTCTTCTCTTCCTTTCTCACACTCACAATCTAGGATCATATCCTACTATTTTGATGTGAAATCTTTCATTTCGTTTTTGTCCATCTTTGTCTCAATCATAGTCATATCCAAAGCCCAGCACCTTGCCTAACAATCTGTCTAAAGTACTAGCTGCTACGAGAGGCTCACCTGGAATGTCTGTGCACCCTCTCCTCGAACAATCTGGCAATGAGAATTCAGATCCACTTGACCTTGAGGTTTCCGGATGACATCACTCTGTAAAGAAAGGAATAGGGAGGAAAGCAATGAGGTGTACAGGCTTCTCAAAGCATCATTTTCCTCTCTATCTTACTCCAGGTCACAACCAAGCTTCCCTGGCCACAGTATTATGGGTAACTTGTTCTAGATTCTGATACTAGTTAAATACACCCTTAATTGGGAACATGGGTCCTTCTCATCCAGGTCTCAAACAGGATAGATGAGGCTTTAAAATTGGGTCAGAAGCCACCAGATTATTACTGAATTATAAAGCCCTTAAATTCTTTCCACTAAGCTGGGACATGCGCCTGTCCCAGCTACACAGTAGGCTGAGTGAAGAAGGAGGATGACTTGAGCCAGGGGTTTGAGGCCAGCCTGGGCAACACAGCAAGACCCTACCTTAAAAAAAAAATTCTGCTACATCATTATACCCAGTATGGCAAGGTAAGTGCCACATATATCACTATTACCATCCTTTCTAATGCTACTGTGGCAAGTTTCTTATGAGAGAACACAGACCTAGAATCCTTAACATGGAGGCAGAGACAGCTACTACCAATCAACTGGAGTTACACAAGAGAGAAGTTTTTTGTACTGTTCAGTGCTAGTTCCCAACATCCAAGACTCCTTAATTCCGCATAGAAGAGTAAGGAGGAGGAGGCAATGGACGTGTCTGTTAGAACAATCCAGATAAGAGGAGGAACAGTACTTTCACAGGACCAGACATAAGAAGAGACTGGCTTCTAAAGGAAGAACGAATTGCAAGCCAGCTGGCCTAGAGCTGCCTTAAGTATCACATGCCTTATTTCATTGTGAGAACAAGTGACAACCTCATGGTCCCCTGTGTGACTCAGAGCCTCCAGACGCCAGTCAAGCTGCCCATCTCTGCCTGTCAGACTTTGCCTTTTGCCCTCTGGCCACACTGCCCCTCTGCCAGCCCCTCCCATACAGTTCTGGGTGTGGGGTGGGGTCCTTGTGATTACAGTCCTAGAAGTGGGGGGGGTCTCACCGGAGATTTGTAGTACAGAATCTGTCCCTGTCTCAGGACAAACCAGCGTCTCTTCCACGTCTTCACCCGGCTCCCCATTTTCAGCAGGTAGCCTGACTTTTCCAGTGACTCCTGAGGGATGAAAGAGAATAAGAGGGAACAGAAAGGGGAAATCACTTGGGGCTTCTGGACATCACAGGTCTTTTGATCCAGCTGGGCACTTCTTTGCCATCAATATTTTAAAAAGTAATTGAGCATCTATTATGAGTTTTCATTTTCAGGGCTCTGTACCCTGCTGAGTGTTCAGAGAGGACTAAAGTGAGGCAAACCTGCCATGGAAGGCCCCACGATGGCTGGGAAGATAACACCTGGCCCACCCTGAAGAGGTGAGAGAAAGAGGCTGCAATGGGGAGAGGCTGGCCAAGATGGGCTTCAGGAAAGAGTAGGACCTGAACTGGCCTTTGAAGGAGAGGTCAATTTCTCCTTCAGAGAGCAGCTGAGAGGAGGAAGGTCACCACTCCAGGCTACATAGCCAGGAGAAGGCAGACAGGTCTGGGGAATAGTGGGCACAGGCTGGATGGCAGGTTTGTGGAGCAGGGCAAATGAAGACAGGGCAATGGGAGTTGTGGAGCCAGGACTGAGGAATCAAGACCTGGACTCACAGCTAGCCCTGGCATGTGGTACATGTCCTCTGAGCCTCAAGCTTCTCATCTATGAAACAGGGCAATAACCCCAGAAGGACCATGAGGACAAATGGGACGTGACATGCAGGAAGTGTACCAATGACAGCACCTGGCACACTAAAACAACCATACAGCTCACTACTGCATCTAAGGGTCAGTGTGGAGCTAAAACAAGTAAATATATGCAAACTCCTCATGGGGTTCCAAGGAACTTCCGAGGCTCCCTCTTTCCTTCCTTATGGGATCTGGGTGTGTCTGTCTCCATATGGGAAACCCCCAGTCTATTCCCCTCCATGTCTCTGGGGACCCCTCTCCTCCCTTAGCTGCTGCTGAGTCCCAGGTAGCCTCTGCTTCAGGTTGTCTCCCAGCCTGTGCTCTGGCCTGCCAGGGCATGGCATTGTGCTCCCTGCTCACCCCGCCTAGTCCCAGTCCATCGATGGAGTAGGATGAGGTGCGCTGAACTTTGTGCTCAGGCTCGGAGTAGTCACTGTCCAGTGAGTAGGCATCAGGGGGAATGGCGTAGTCACCCTCAGAGCTCAGTGAGGACATGGAGACCCCTGCCAATGGGACAAGGAATCAAGGCCCAAGTCCCACACCTTCCCCTACACCCACAACCAAGAGTTGTAGGGCCTTCATTACCCACCAGAGACCCCCAAGTCTGAAGCTGCTGGGGATCCCAGGCACAGATCAAGCAAGGGCCCCATATCAAACACCCAAGGGGAAAAGTGAGAGGCATCTCCTGCTCCCCTTCTCTGTACCTCTCTTGATGGCCCGAGGGCTGCCTAGTCCACTGGTCTTTCTACACTCAGAACAGGGGGTTGATATCCAGAAACTCGCCTGAGAGCTGCAGTCATCGTCAGACCCAGAGGACTCATCCACAACGGGCACACTGCTGATCTGTGTGGCTCTCTGCAAGACAGGCCCCTTCCCCACTGCAACTCAAGCTGCAAAACAAGCCCCCTGCCACCCAATAGCTTCTCCCTGATTCCAAGTACCCAGAGTGTGATACACACAGCATGTCTGGGGAGACTGTGAGGCCCAGCTCGGGCACTGAGTAGACAACTGTGTAAAGGTCCTTTCCTGACCTCACTCCTGTACCCTTACAGTGTACCTTGTGCACTTTGGACACTCTTCCCCCACACCATCTTCTGGTCCCATCTGGACTGAACACCTCCTGTTGTGACTCTTGTTCCCTCCACTAGGTGGCCAAAAGGCCCTAGCATGGCATGGGCCAAGTGCAGGACAGGAACTTTACAAATGTGTGAGGACACTAAAGCAGGGAGAGATCTTCAGTGGCAGACATTTAAAAGATTGATTACCTCAATGTTGGTGAGAGTAGGAGAATGCAGAAAAAAGGACTCTGATATGACAAGGCATTGGTATTTATTTACAGGTGTGTATGTGTGTGTGGTGCTAGGGATAGAACACAGGACCTCACTCTTTCTAGACACCCCTACCCACAAGTGGTTTTAGAAAGCAATTTGGCAGAACCTACCAAAACCTAAAAGAGTCATACAACTTGCTCAGAAATTCTGCCTATAGAGCTCTGTCCTACAGAAATACGGATATATAGGTGCACAAGGATACATATACATGTACATATATATGCGTAATGATGCTCATTGCACCATTTATTTTATCCAAAGATAGGGATACAAACCTATTGTAAATCGGGAGGAAAGCTTCAGGTAGTCACAGTGCAGCTGCAGTCAATTTACTGCACAGTGAAGAGGAGGCACAGAACAATATATGTGTGTGCCTGCATGTGTGTGAGAGAGAGAATGATGTGGGAAGGGAGAGGGGAAAAGGGAGAGCAAGAGCTCAAGAATGAGAGCTCAAGAGTAAGAGAGAAATGAGAGTGAGAGAAACTGGCACACACATATTTGTAAATGTACTGAAGGAGCTTACAGAATAAACACTAAACCATTAATGATACTTGCCTCTGGAGTTGGGAACTAGGGAAAAGCAATGTGAGAGGAAATTTCATCACTTTTGGTTTTTTATTCTTCTATGAAAAGTTTGAACAAGTTTGGAGCATTACATTATGCTCCAAAAAACAGTAACAAAAGCTGAAAGTGTAGCCCAGTGGTAGTGCACTTGCCCAGATTTGGGGTTAGGGGTTTGTTTAAGCACACCTACACAATTCTGGAAGGAGCCCCAGTGGGGACCTGGGAAAGTGAGATGGACATAAGAAAGGGTGGGGAAGGGAGGTGGAGCAAGCATAGGTTTCACCTATAACTTTTTACTTTGCCCACATTTGTATAGACTCAGCTTTCTGTAAATGTAGGATTTTTATACTAAAAATTAGAAATAATAAACAGAATGGCATATAGTTGGCTGAATCCTTGACCAGGGTCGTGTGTGGGAGCCTGGCCCTCCAGCCCCTCCTCCCACAGGCACTTCATGCTGAGAGCAGGGGCCTCTCCCGATAAGGACATCCGTGCTTTGCACAGCAGTTTCTTACCCCCTTCAGTGCCGTGTAGACAGGTACAGTGACATTCTTGTAAACAAGGCCAGAGAAAGACCCAGAGGATGCAAGGGCAGGAGGGCTGGAAGCTGAGTGGAGAAAGAAGGATGAGATGAACTCAAGTGGCATAACGCAGTGACAAAGCTGTCGGGAGGCTGATGAGGAGGGCCAAGGCCTTCCTCGTTTCTCCTTTTTCATTCCCTTTGACTTCCTTTGGGGACCATGATCCCTATACAGTAAAGGAACCCACCACAGCAGAATCTTGCGCTTTACCATTTTCTTCTCCATGAGGCTTGTATTGTGTCCAATTCTTGCCAAGGTGAGTCACAAACCACATGCCCATGGGGCTCCCATCACCATGGGGTTGTTGTGGGTGGATGGTGACTTTTTTAAAAATATGAATGCTTCACAAATTTGCAAGTCATCCATGCATAGGGGCCATGCCAATCTTTATATCCTTCCAATGTTACTATAAGCACTGCCAAAGCTAACAGTGACCAGTGACTCTTGAGCCAGTGGACAGTGCTCATCACAGCCCTGCAGAAGGGAAGCTCACATGGGTGAAGGGCTGGGCTGGAGGACCTTGCTAAGGTCCCTCCCAGCTCTGTGATTGGCTACAACTTTGATAACTTCCCTGATAGTTTCCTTGGTGGCTTCCCCTCCTAGCCATGGCAATGAGCTGAACCTGCAGAACTTCCTTTTTGCTCCTAGGCAGCCTTGGCTGTGTAATTTCTCCTGAACTGCATCTGTTGTGGAAGGGAACAGGTGTCAGGCCCACTGTGAGCATTTGGGCCCCTAGGGCCTCACTTATACTCACCACAGCAGGCAGCGTTACTTCGGGGAGACACTTCTGACAGCTGCATGCCTGATGTGGCTACTGCATAGATCCGGCTCTCCTGGAATGAGAGATCCCAGGAGGTGAGAGTCCAGGACTATGACCACTCCAGATCCTCCAGGGAAGTGAAGGAAAAACATGGTTTTGGAGGTAGGCAGATCTGGGTCCACACCCAGGTGAGTCAATTTCTGGATGACAGACCTCAGGCAAGTTTCTTCATTTCTGAGCTCATTTCCCTCAGTGCTAAAATAATACTGACCTTTCCTGAGGCTGCTGTGAAAGCAAATGAAATAATTAATGTGAACACACCTGGGACATAATCCATGCCCAACAGATATTCACTCCCTCTCTGACCTCCACCCTTTTCCTTGAGGCAAAGGAAGTTTAAGAAGATAGCAATCAGTAGCCTGTTTTTCAGAATCTTACCCATCATAGAGACCCATGGGTCATGGGGTCTCCAAAAGTTGGGGGGGGTGTTGATAATGAGGAAGTCAGAGCAACATGGGGAGGGCATGCTCTTTTGTAAGCTGTTGGAAGCAGGGACACATAGTCCTCCTACAGTAACAATGTGAAATCTACAAAGACTGCAAACTTCAAAGGCGCTCCAAAACCCCCTGTTAAAAGATACTCCTGCAAAAGCCATCCCTAAGCTGTTCCCAGACCTAGGGAGTTCTGATTGCTCCCAGCAACACAAGGCCCCCCTCCCAGACTGTTCCAGATCTGTTTGCTTCACTTGCCCTACAGGGAAAACAAAGGTCCACTCAGGTGACTGGTGAGTCACAGAGGCTAACTAGGTCAGCCAGCCTGACCCAAGGGAGGCAGCTGGGGGCCAGCCAGGTTGGGGAACAGGCTGGAAGGTGGTAGAACACATATTGGGGTGTGGCCCCAGAGGGGGGAAGCAGCACTGGAACAGCTGGCAGGTGATGTGGGATAAGATGCTGAGATAACCAGAGCAAAGGGTAAGGCAAGAGGGCAGTTGGGGAGATGTCCAAGGAGGGTGCCAGTGGGGCAGGGAATGCCTGTGTTTAGGAAGGGCAGATACATGGCATGCAAAGAGTAAAATTAGACATAGAAGCCAGGCGCCAGTGGCTAACATCTGTAATTCCAGCTACTCGGGTGGCAGAGATCAGGAGGATCGTGATTCGAAGCCAGCAGGGACACATAGCTCTTGAGACCCTATCTCGAAAAACCCCATCACAAAAAATGGCTGGTGGAGTGGCTCCAGGTGTAGGCCGAGTTCAAGCCCCAGTACCACAAAAAAAAAAAAAAAGAAACAAAAGACACAGAGATTATTTCTGCCTGTAGTGATCATGGAATTAAACATCTAACTTCACAAAGGAAATGAGACTCAAGTTTAAGGGAATGAGGTAAAACAAAAGACAGCACAGTTTGACAAAAGGGTATCTAATTCTTATCTCACAAGGTTGTTTTAAAGATTAAGAGAAAAAAGGGCTCGACAAACAAGTATATTTGCCTCCCTCACTTTTTGGATTGAGAAATGGCCTATGAATTCCCAGGCTTTGCTTCCCCAGTTGGTTACTGTCCAGCTGGTTCTGCTTGAGTGAGGGGCTGGGCTCTCACGCATGGTGGTTTCTTAAGCTCATGTCAGACAGGAGCTATCCTACTACCTCAGGGCCTTGCATGAACCTGAGGTGTGTCTTATTTCCCTCAGGGACAGTTACCAAGATGTTTGAAAACAGGAGACAAATTTTCCTTAAACTTCCCTGGTTGACTCTGGAGATCCTTGCATCCCATCTGAAAGCAGGTAGGGTCAATGGAAAGACCCTACCTGAGGTTGCCCCTTAATGCTTTCACCCCCAGATTGTAGCTCATGTATCATGTCTGAAGAATTTCATTGTTTTAGATGGTTTTTTTTTCTTTAAAAAAAAAAAAACAATGTCTTGCTATGTTGCTGAGGCTGGCCTAGAACTCCTGGGCCAAGTAATCCTCTTACCTCAGCTTCCTGAGTGTTGGGGACTGCAGGTCCCCAGTGCTCCTGGCTGAAGTGTTTTATTCTCTCTCTCTCTCTCTCTCTCTCTCTCTCTGTCACACACACACACACACACAGACAAATTAACAGGCGAAAGACAACTGCCTCTTAGCCACAACAGTGGATGGCTATATTCTGGCAAAATTGCAGACATGAACAACACTTCTCTTAGTTAATAGCCACTGAGCCCTCCTGCCATATCCCTTTCCCAAATGCTCCATCACTCCTGCCTCTGCCTTAGGATTCCAGAGCAAGACAACCATGAACAAGAGAAGCCACGGCCTGTAGGATGGCCAACTGTCGGGAACACTGCACTTTCCTGTCTAACCTTCCTTCTAGCCTGGCTTCACACTCCACTGTGTCTCCAGCCTTACAGATGGCCTTGCAGCAGCTGGTCAGCAGTCACTGTGAAGGGTGTAGCCCATCAGCCTGGGCTGGGAGCCTCCCTATACCAGAACTTCAGAAGGAGACCCTGGAAGGTGCTGTTGAAGTTAGAGATCTTCCAAGCAGCAATATGAGGAGATAATCCCACCCTAGGGTACCCCAGTCCCTTTGCTGCCAGTAGCTGACACCCAGATGTCCTCCCACAGTGCTGCTTCATACCACTGCAGCATTCAGTCTGACCACAAGTAAGAGTCACACATCTGCTGTGGCTATGTCCTCAGGAGGCAGCCCAGATAGAAAGGTGGAGCTGGGCTTCAAGGCAGCTATACCTCAATTGAAAGTGTGGCACATTCACTAAATACTACATGACCTTGGACAACTGGCTAAACTGTGGGGCCAGCAATGCTCTGTCAAAGGAAGAAATAGGGCCTAATTCCTCACCACATATGAGGGTCCTTTCCATGTGTCAGCCTCTGTACCAAGAACTTTAACCTTCATGTCATTCTCACCACTGGCCTGTGGAACCTTAACACCCCACTCACCTCATTTTTACTTTAACTTTTTATCACAGAAATGTCAGTAGAGAGAACAGTATAAAGACTGACCTGTACCCAACACCCTCCTATGTATTCCTGTATGGCCAGTCTTGTTTCATCTGCATCCCTGACCTCCACCCAGATCACTGATTCCGAAGCAAGTTCATCAGACATGATTTTACTGAATGTTAAGTGAGGAAGCTAAGGCTCAGAACTAAAAATAGCCAACAACTTACATACCATCTACTACTTGCAAGCACTTGTTAAACACTAACATATTTAATCCTATAAAGTAGTCACTATTACCCCCATTTTACAGCTAGGGAAACTGAGGCATGGAGCTAAGTAAGTTGCCCAGAGTCACACAGTCAGAAATTCAACCCCAGTGACTTGATCATGAAACCTGTGCTCTTAACCCTCACACTTATCATCTCAAAGAGAAAAGGTACACAAAGCACCCAGCTTAGCATGATCTATGGTGAACACTCAGGAAATGACAGCCATCATCCACCCCAGTTCAGATTGTGGCTCCACCTACTGCCACCTGTGTGGGCTGGGCAGGCTCCATGGTTTTGGCCTTCCAAAGCCATTGCCAGGATGTCAGCCTCATCTTTTGCTTAGTGTACTCTCGGCGCATGAATGTTTCAGTGAACACTCTGCCTATCTTTGGCTCTGCTCCCTGCCCAGCAGGGACCCATCCTGAGGTCACTTCTTACCCAGGATGGAAACCGGTGCAGGGGAGGTGTGGGTGGTTTGCTCCCCACTGTCACTTCCTCTAGCTCAGCTCTGGAGGTCTTCAGGCTCTCTCTTTCTTCCTCCTTTCCTGTTGAAGATGGCTCCCCCATCTCCATCTTCTCTGGTTCTTCCTGGAGCTCAGCTCGGGCCTCCAACTTGGAAAGACCGGAGGGGTGGAGGGCTGACAGAGCCCCAATTTCTATGCTCACTACATGGTCAAAATGCCCAGGACCCATTTGGGGCTGGCTGTGGTGCCTTTTGGCCAACTGGATGCTGTCCCGGGGGGTGCTGGGAACCCGTACTTTCGGTAGAGTCAGGCTGCTACCAGGGCCACTACCTTCTCTGGCAGAGGTCTTGGTCCCAGGGGGTGTCCCTCCCTGAGCAGTGACCAGGCCCTTCCCCCAGGAGAGAGAACTGTATCTGGGGGTGCCAGGCTTCATGCACAGCTGGCTGAGAGAGCTTTCTTTTCCTTGGTGAGGTTGAAGGGTCTTGGCCTCTGTTTTTTCCCCAGTGGGGGCCACACTTGAGCTAGAATCCTCAGGGCTTCTGGCTTCAGACACAGGGTCCTTGCTCGGTAGGACACCTGAAGAAGGTACAGGCACAGCCACCTTTAAACACTGGGCCTGGGGACCACTGTCCTGCTTGGTTCCTGATCCTGAAGAGACAGAATCCTGCCCTGGGGTTCCCTGAGGAGCCACTGGCAGCGTCCCTGAAGGAGCCATCTGAAGAGCTGTGGTTGGGACAAAAACAGGCATATTGAGAGCTCCCTCCATTTAGCCCCACACCCCATCATGCAGATGCACACCTGCCCTACTTACCTTCTAAGGCATTCTGAAGGGCTCCCACCTGCTCCTTCAGGTGCTGATTACAGCTCTTCAGATGCTGATTCTCCATCTCAAGCTAGGCAACAAGAAAATGAAGACTTAGGGGGCTGAAGGTATAGTTCAATGGTAGAGTGCCTGCCTGGCATGCTGGAGGCCCTGGGTTTGATTACCAGTACCAAAAATATATAAATACGTGAATGGAGATTTAGAATAACCTGTCTCCGCAGGTTCAAAGCCTAAAAGCCCAAATCTTTGACAAAGAGTACTTGGTACCCCACCAATCCAGTGCTGACTCTCCAGGGAGACCTGACCCCCTGCTCCTCCTGTGCTAGCTGGTTTGGGTTGAAATAAAATTCCACTTGGCAGCCTCTGTACTTTCTTTTTGTGTGTGTGTGTGTGTACGCACTTGCCTGATTCTGACACATCATTACTTTTAATCTTTTTAAAAACTGTGAAATATAACAGATGGAAAACTGCATCCCTCATCAATGAATGTCTTAACAAATGATTCTGAAATTACTACCCACTAGACTACCACCCAGGCTGAGAAAGCAGTTTGCCAGCACCCCAGACAACTCCCTGACTTGCCTCTTCATGATCACATGTCCTCCTTCCCCACGAAAGGTAAGCACTCTTTTTAGTTAACCAGATTCACTTCCTTGCTTTCTGGTTCCATCACTTCAGTGTGCACCCTCCACATCAGTTTAGTCATGCCTGCTTTTGAACTTTAGATAAGTAGAATTACAGTCTGTATAACTCTTTCTATGTCTGGTTTGTTCCTCATAACATAATGTCTTTGAGACTCATCCTCATAGAATTAATTTTCTTTTAAATTAAACCAAGCATACCTTACTAAACATCTTTTAGCAAGGACCAGGGGAATTTGGAAGTTTGGAAGTAAACCCTTGGTTCCCTCCCTAAGAACCTATAGTCTAGCAGGTGACCTAGATGTGACCTGAGATGAGCCAATGCCCTCCCACAGCAGTGAGCCACATGTCTCAAGAAGACAGGACAAGAGGAGATGCATGTTTGTCCTTTTCCAAAGTGTGAACTCTTTCTTTTTGTTTAGAAAGAGGTTGGGTTTTTTGTTTGCTAGTCACACTGTAACTTCTAGTCCTGAGCTTCCTAAACACACTGTAGCAAGTGATGAAGTAAAAAAATGCATGGATAGAGAAGAAAAGGGGAACAGACGCTACCAGGGGCTGGAGGCAGGGTAATGGGGCTTCAGTGCTTGGTGGGTACAGAGTTTCTCTTTGAGGTGATAAGTAATTTTGGAAATATAGTGGGGATGAATGAACAACATTGTGTAGGCACTTAACACTGAATTATACACTTAAAAATAGTTTGAATGGTAAATTTTATGCATATTTTATAGTAATTTTGACTCAAAATCCAGCACAAAACTAGTCAGGAGTTTGAGGAAAACTGACCAAAACAAAGGGAAAGGGAAAGGGAAGTCAGGCCTTTCAGCATTTAAAATAAATGCTGGACAAATTGTTAATAACATGAAGGCCAGGCCAGGCCAGGACCCAGTCTGGAGGAGGCAGAGAACCCTGGGGATAAAGGGCAACCCACCCAGGCATACCGCAGGACCTCCAGGATGAATATTTGACTCACCTCTTCTAACTTCAGTGTCACCCACTCCTTGATCTTTGCAGCTTTTTCTTGAACAATTTTTGCTTCCTCAGCCCTCATTTGCTTCTACAAGAAATAAAGGGCCCTTAATGAATTAGAGCAGTCACCAGTGTGAATGACTAATGGTAGAAGTGACTGGCTAGCAGTGACCCAACAAAAGAAAAATTAATTGTTATGATTTTTAAAAATATTCTTGCCAGGTATGGTGGCACACATGTAATCCCAGCACTTGGGAGGTGGAGGCAGGAGGATTTAGAGTACAAGGCCAGCCTGAGCTACACAGGAAGACGCTGTCTCAAAAAATCAAAACAAGACTGGGCACTGGTGGCTCATGCCTGTAATCCTAGCTATTTGGGAAGTAGAGCTCAGCAGGATTCTGGTTGGAGGGTAAACAGTTTGAGATCCTCGAAAATACCCAACACAAAAAAGGGGTGTTGGAATGGCTTAAATGGTAGAATGCCTGTTAGTGAGCATAAGGCTCTGAGTTCAAACCCCAGTACTGCCCAAAAAAAACCAAACAAAAAAAAAGCAAAAAAACAAACAAAACCCTTAAAGTAGGAAGAGCTTTTCTACGCATAATACAACCCCCCCCAAAGAAAAGCATAAAGGAAAAGAGTAATAAATCTATGTCATAACTATAAATTACTATATGATTTAAAAAAAAAATCCCTAAAACAAAATCAAAAGGCCAACTAGTGGTCAGGAGCAATGGTGTATACATGTAGTCTCAGCTACTCAGGAGGCTGAGGTGGGAGAATCATTTAAAATTCAGGACCAGCCTAGGCAACACAGGAAGACCCTGTTTCAAAAACACAAAACAGGCCTTGAGGTATAGCTCAAGTAGTAAAGCACTTGCCTACAAGTGTGAGGCCCTGAGTTAAAATCTCAGTTCTAAAAAAAGAAAACACCTAACTGGGGAAGGATTTGCAACACAAAAAAAGCACAGAACAAACGAACAATCAAGGACTGCTGGTGTGGTTCAAGTAGTACAGCACCTGCCTAGCAAATCTAGCAAGCCTTTCAAGCATGAGGCCTTGAGTTCCAGCCCTGGTACCACAAAACAAAACAAAAAAACAACCAAAAACAAAACAATTGAACAATCCAATAAACACATGCAAAGAATATGCACAGGAAATCAAGAGGAAAAGAAGCACATGAAAAGCTGTTCAACCTCCATCACAATTTTAAACACACAGAAATAAACAAGATGTAATTTTCCTATTGCATCCAAACACAATTGAAAAGGTTGGTATTACCCCAAATTGTCAAGAAATGCTGGGAATAACTCCCATATACAAGTTGTCAAGGCCTTTTGCAGGGAGAAATTTGGCAATATCGGCCAACATTTTAGATGTACACACTGTTGACATATCAAAGTCACTGCTCAGAAATCATTTGCTACAATACTACTTGAGAAAGCAACACAAAATCAAAGACTCACAACTGAAAATCACCAAAGTGTGCACCAGTAAGGGGTTGATTAAGTAAGCATGGCACATCCACAAAATGAAAGGAACATGCTGTGTTTTGATATACAAGAAACATTAACAGTGAGGAGCAGAAATGATGCATTTGGGAATAGAGGAAAAATGTTACTGTCTGTTTAGACCCTTCTAGTTTTTTGGTTTTTTTTTGCTGTAAGTATATATTACCTTTACAGTTAAAAAAAAAAAAGACTAAATTAAGCCATAACAGTTTTTTCCCCACAAAATAATCAACAGAATAGAAGATGACTGAAAAGGAGACTTGCATCTTATAAACAGCAAGGGCTCGGGGTGTAGTTCAGTGGAACAGTGCTTGCCTAGCATGCACAAGGCCACAGGTTTAATCCCCAGCACCACAAAAAATTTATTTTTAAAAATTAAAGAGCAGCCTACCATAGAATGAAATACGGTCTTTGATCCTATGAGTAAGGCTTATTTGCTGTGAGACATTAGGCAGGAAACCTAACCCCTTTAGCCTCTAAATGGGGACTGAGGCATCCTCCTTTCTCGGTCCTTCTGAGGATGAAATGTGAGCCGATGCACAGTACAGTGCTGAAGGCACAGGAAGCAGCTAGTTTTACAGTGAGAACTAGTTCCTAGATCTAAAAAGCATGGAACAGCCTGAGAGTAGCAGGTGGTCACACTCAAGGTCCTTTCCAACTATATCCTTTACCTGGCTTCTAATGAACAGATGTGAAGGGAAAATAGCTTCCATTAATTAAATCTCCATAAGAAAGAACAGCTTTCTTCCCCCTCACTCCAGGGATCAAGCAGAGGGGCTTAAGAAACTGGGGGCCAACTGGTACAGATGCTGAGGAGGATTGGTGCTCTGTTGCACATTTGCCCCTACCTGCTTCTCCAACTGCACCTCCAGCTGGCTGATGAGCTCGTCTTTGCCTTGCATAGCTTTTAGCAATTCTTGGTACTTCCGATGCAGGGTACCGGTAGAGTCCACATTCTTCAGATTGGACAGTTTTACCTTCTCTTCCATCACACCCATCTGAAAAGTACCGACAACCTCATAAGGCCTTACATCACTCACATGGTGTGTGCAATGGATAGTAACTTGGGCTGGAATGCCCTTGAATGCCCCAGACTATGACTCCTAGTCAGAGCCCTAACCCAAGGCATTCTGGGTCAACTAATGAAGTAACTCATTTATTAGCCTCTTCTCTGGGAAAAAGAAGGAACTAACAACAGAGCAAGTCATTTTGGCCATTCTCAAAAGACCACATAGGTCTTGGGCCATCTACCTCTGCTCCCCTGCTCCCCAGGAGTTAGGCAGAACAAACAGCCCTGGACGATACCTGCTCCAACCCCACTGAGGCAGAGACAGACATTTACTGCTCCCTGGATATCCATGTGTTTCCTAGTATTTGCTAACCCACTTGTAGTTAGATGGGGCCATATAACTCATCCAGCTAATGGACTGAGTAGAAATGGCGCATCATTTCCTGCTGAAGTACTTACATGGGTTTGGTTTTGTTTGGGACAGGGTCTCACTATCTATCCCAGACTGGCCTTGAACATGCTATGTTGTACCGAAGTATTTAAAAACTGGTGCACAAGCATCCGGATCATTCACTGCCATGGCAACCAAGAAGGCTACGTGTTCTAGAGGGTGCAGCTAAAAAACAGGAGAACTTCCTTCAGCCTGGACCCTGTATGACTGTGGAAGCAGATTTGCTGGCTAACCACCTATGGGTGAGTACCATGCATGCAATATGAATGTGGTAAACCACTCAGATTGCAGACTTAATTTGTTCCCATAGCATAGCATAGCCTATTTGGACTAACACGTCCACTAACTATGCTAACCCTGCCCAAAGACTCCTTCATTGCCACAGAAGGCCCCCCGCACCTTAATTTGTTCAAGTCCTACTCATGACTGCTGGTTTTTTCTTGTACTTATAAGGAGCTCATCAGTGCAAGTGATGAAGCAGGTCATCTTCCCTGCCTTCCCGCCTTTTCCCCGCCCCAGTTACCTGGGTCTCGGCATTCTCGGCTCTCCGCTCTGCCTCCAGCAGCCTCTGCTCCAGCTCCTGCATCTGCTCAACCAGGAGGGAGGGGAGATGTAAATGCTATGTCCCAACTCTGAACATGGCATCAGGGCCACGCGAGCAAGTAGGCAGACACTGCACTCAGGCTAGGATTCAACTGCCCATCCCAAGTGGCTCAAGGATGTCAGGGTAAAGACTTCCATGGCAATCTAGATTGGGCTCCCCACTCCTGAGTTACACGGCTGGTGAAGTAGCTGTGGCTGCTGCCCTTGCTGACGAGTGAAAGCCTAGCTCTTCTGCCACCGTGTGTGGGAGCAGGGGTGACAGTATCACCTTCATTCTTCCTGAGCATTCCTGCCCCAATCCTGCCTTTGGTCGCCTCCTCCTAGGGCTTTTTTCCCCTCTATACTGGGTCACAGGCAGAGTCATGCTACTGCTTGCCCATGTGCCCAGCATGGACCGTGATTCTATACAAGCCCACCTCATGTCACTGGTAAGAGGATGTCCCTCCTCACACAGAATACCTCTTTGGCTGGGGACAAATGGCTCTTGTGAATATCACCTTATTTGATTTCTTTAATGTTATAGAAATAGAAAAAGAGACTGAAGTACTTTTCTTTGGTGCCACAGATCAAGAGTGACCTACAGGCTTGCACGTGCTGAGCGTGTGCTCTGCCACTCAACTACATTCCAGCCCTACATTAAAACAATCCTGTCTTGGAGCTGAGGAGGCAGTACAGTGGTAGTGCCTACCTCTGGGACCACACAGTCTCAGCGCCACAAAAACAAAACAAACTATCTTGCTGCTAGGAGAGGTATATCACTCACGTCTGGAGGAGCTTAGTAATTCTAGACTCTTATAAGAAGTGGTCCAAGCAAAGGGACCAATGTTCTTGTACGCAGAGACTCATCAGGGACAAGACCTAAGCTGTAGCCTAAGATGATGCTTGTGGACTATCCAGCATCTCTTTGCAGCATCATGAGCTCAAGAGTTGGCACATCAGCTCCCATCTCCCCCTGCCAGGGTACCACTACGTAGTGTCCAAACTGCACACCAGTATCCAGAGGCTATGTTCAAGGCAGGGCAAATTCACAAGCCAACTTTTGTGTCAAACACCATGTGGCTGGGCTGTGGTAGTGCCAGCTACATCCTTGCCCATCCCATCTTGCCACCAGACAACCTGTCAGTGCTATACATATACTGAAGTATATCCCAGCCTGTCTTCTATGAGGCAGAGCAGATTCAGTGCCCACCATCCTCCAAGTTCTAGCACAGCCCTTGCCTGCCTGGCCTCTGTGGATTTGGCCTTCTCTCCAGTCCTCAACCTTCTGTCCTTTGCCAGATATTTACCAGTGATCTGAGCAATTCTCTCCCATTTTCCCAGCCTCCAACCTTCTCAGCTGAAATTCTGTTTTCTTTGAACAAAGGGTGAAAGACAAGGGGACCCAGCCTGGCACTGGATAGTGAAAAGAAAGTTATACAGAAGCTGCAGTTCATGTTTGAGGACCTAAGGGTCTCTTCTCAGGGTGGCCTTCCTTTGTCCATTTTTTTCTCCTTTCTAGTATCGGGAAGACACAGTTGTTCTCAGTACTCATTCTATTTGAGGGAGAATTGGAGTGATGTTCCTCCAAAGGTCCCAAGTAAAACTCAAGATTTACTATGGGCTCCCAACTGGTAGACCTAAGGGCACCTGCATTCCCTCTTTTTTCCATCCTTTACTGTGTTTAATAATCATGACTAAACCACTTAACTCAAGCTGAGAGGTGGAGGGTTGTTTCTAGCCAGTCTTAGACATCAGGTAGAGCCAAACAGTCCTGGGACCTGTCCTAAAGGAGCACCCTGACCTTTACATAGCTGCTCTGTAGCCTCAGGCTGATGATAACACAAACCAACACTATGGCTACACTTTGCCCAGCATGAAAAGAACTGGTGGTGTGGAGTGATGGACTGGATGATACAGTGGTGGCCCACAGTGACCAGGTCAGTACTGAGTAACTCTTCTGCCTTCTGACCTGACTAAGCTGAGCAGGCTCAATCTCCAAGAATCTGAAACCTGGAATCAAGACATCAGAGATTGGAGCCAGGGAGCTGCACAGAGGGTGCATGAGCCTCACCAAGTCATGGTTGTTGGACAGAACTAAAATCTTGTGAGCTGGCCTGGACTCTTTGAGTACAGACTCTGCTTGCACAGGCTAGCAGAGAAGTGGGGGGTGGGGGTTAGATTCTATGTGGATAGAATCTAACTAATATAGTGACTAGGAGCATTTTCTTTTTAAAGAATGCAATGAAATATTGAAGGGGAAGGTCTTGGGCTCTCAACAAGTTTCCTCAATTGACCCTTGGCTGGACCATTTAGTTCTAATGTCTGCTCTGTGGCTCAGAAGAAGGTATAGGACTTTCATAGGAAATGATCAATCACATTTGTGATCTTCAGCAATAATCATCTAACATTTTCTAATTTTGACTGATGGAAAAACTTGTCTTCTTATTTCGAGATGGAGACCAAAGTAGGATGAAGAAGAAGTTTGAGTCTCACCTCCCCACTGGGCATTTTCATTTGGGTCAAGAGTGGTCAATGACACTGGTCAGAGCCAGAAACTGTTACTGGCAATGCAGTAAGCATTTTTCTTAAGATTTTATTACTCTTTTTTTTTTCAGAACTGGGACTTGAACTCAGAGCCTTCACCTTGAGCCACTCCACCAGCCCTATTTTTGTGAAGGGTTTTTCAAGATAGGGTCTTGTACCTGGGCTGGCTTGGAATTGCAATCCTCCTAAGTAGCTAGGATTACAAGTGTGAGCCACTGGCGCCCAGTTTATTACTCATTCTTTAAGGTAAGCCATTACTGAAGCAGAAGGAATGCAAGGCACCACCTAGAGCTAGGGGACCTCCTCCCAGGCCCATGGCTTGAGGACACCTGACACTCAAAACATTTTGTATTGTCTTTTATGTTGTGTTTTTTTGTTTCTCTAAATCTCCTTCTTCCCTCCTTTCTCCGTCCTTCCCTTCCTTTCTCTTTTTTGGCAGTCCTCGGGGTTTGAACTCAGGGCTCACACTTGCTAGGTAGGTGCTCTACCATTTGAGCCACACCACCAGTCCTAAAACTAGTTTCTGAACACTGAAAATATTTTAAACATCTAGAACTTTCACAAAGGAGAAAAACATAACTGTCCGTGCATTTGCTACCACACTAAGCAATTAGCAACATTATGCTGTCTTTGTTTGATTTGGGGTGGAGGTGCCAGGGATTGAATCCAAGGCCTCAGGCATACTAGGAAAGCACTCCACCACTGAGCTATATCTCCAGCCCTTTTATGAGACACGGTCTCACTACATAGCTCAGGCCGGCCTGGAACTTGCCATCCTCCTGCCTCTGTCTCCCATGCTGGGATTATAGGTATGTACCACCACTTCCAGCTTGAAGAAAATGTGTTTTTAAAATCACATTTCCCTCTGTTTTTATGAAAATAAATTATCTCTACTACCACCATAGTAATCCCAGGCATGTCCAAGCTGAAATGCCATTTTTTGCATTTCCAAACTCTCCTTTTAATGCCACATCCACTTCTCGTGTGGACAAAAGCAGATCTTTCTTCTCCTCACTTGCTTAGGGCCCAGAGCTGGAGCTTTCACAGAGTAGGCCGTCCTTTACTGCTGCTCTGTCCCTCCTCTCAAAGGGTTTCCCAGGACTGTGTCCTCAGCTGTTCGCTTACTATGTGGGTGTCAGGCTTCGGCGGCTGACAGGGATCCACTCTCACCATCTGCATGTGAGACTCATAAACTGCCCTAGAGCTGGCTGCAGCCACCTGATGAAATGCACTTGGCACCAATCTAGTACTCAATCTCCATGACCACAGCTCCTTGTCACAGGCAGCCAAGCTGGGAAATATCAGACCAGGGATGGCAGGAGCAGCAGGCTTTCCTACACCCCAACACAGTCCTGTAGAGCCAGGGAAAGGTCTGAGCTGACAGCCACACCATCCTGTGTGTCAACTGTCCATCTAAAAAGAGGGTTCAAGCTGGAGGTGTGGCTTTGAGTACAGTACTTGCCTAACAATTGCAAGGCCCTGAGTTCCAACTCCAGTACTACCAGAAAAAAGGGTTCAAGAGAGCATGATTGCCAGGTGCTAGTGGCCCACACCTGTAATCCTAGCTCCTCAGGAGGCAGAGATCAGGAGGATCCAGGTTCAAAGCCAGCCTCGGGTAAATAGTTTGAGAGACCCTACCTCAAAAATACCCACAGAAAAAAGGGCTGTGGAGTGGCTCGAGTGGTAGTGTGCCTGCCTAGTAAGTATTAGACCTTGAGTTCAAACCCCAATACTACAAAAAAATAAAGAAATAAAAATAAATGAGGACATGATGGTGCATGTCTGTAATACCAGCATTCACAGTGGGTGATCATAAGTTTGAGCGTAACGAGACCCTACCTCAAAAAGCCAACACCCTCACATGGTTACTGAGAATAAAGATGACATTTCCCAACTTTCTTTGAACCTGGCTGTAACCATGTGTCTAAGATCTGGCTAGTGGGATTTGAGCAGAACACATGAAACCTCTGGGTCATGCACTCTAAGGATAATGATAGTTTAGGCAGGGGGCATGGCTCAAATGGCAAAATGCCTGCCTAGTAAGCATGAGGCCCTGAGTTCAAACCCCAGTACTCCCCAAAATAAATAAAAAGTTAAGGGTGGGAATTTCAATATCAGAGCAAACCATCTTCAAACACACAGAACATCACCCTAGAGCTGAACTGCGTATGTCTGGAAAGTTACATGAGAAAGAAATAAACATCATCTGGTTTAAGCCCTTGTTATTTTAGGTTCTTACAGCAGCCAAACTATGATGTAGCTAAAATGGTAGACACAGATTTCTTAAAATTTATCCTGTTTAGACTCCTTCTTCTGTCTCAATCTGAGGTTTACATCTTTTATCTATTTTGGAAACTTTTTGGCCATTACCTTTTCAGTAATGCCTCTCCCCCATTCTCCGCTTCTGGAATCTTATTTGGTATATCTGGGATCTTATCTTTCTAGCATTCACATCTCAGCCTCTGTATCTTTATTTCTCTGAGCTGCATTCTGGATGATTCCTCAGGTCTATCTTCCTGTTCATTAAATCTGTCTTCTGGGATGGAGGCTTAGCTTAACAGCAGAGTGCTTGCCTAGAGTGGGCAAGGCCCAGGGCTTGACCCAGCATCGCAGGAAAAGAAAAAAAAAAAAAGGAAGAAAGAAAAAAGGCTCCATCTTTAATCTGATGTTTATTCATTGAAAATTTAATTTCAATAAAAATACTTTCTCTTCTAGAAGTTCTAATTGGCTTTGGCTTTCAAGTCTACCTGAATTTTTTGGATGTCTCATGTTTTCAATTTCTTTGTTATGTCTTCCATAGTTTTGAATTTATTTATGTTATGGTCTCTTACCAACAGTTCTATTATTGGAAATCCAATGGTTCCTATATATGTGGATTCTCACTCATTGCAGATTATCCTCTTAGCATTAGTCATTTTGGATTATGTATTCGTCTTCACTAAGTTTTTTTTTCCCCACTATGGGGATCCTGTGTGATCTGGATTGAGGTCTTGTTTCTCCAGAGAATTTTTGTGTCTGTTCCCCTGTATTACCCCTGAGGTTCCTAAACTACACAGGTAATAAAAATCCTAATGTTAAACCATTATCATCAGGTTTCTGGAGACTCTTTTCTTTCTTTTTTTTAACTTTTGTTTTTTTCCACCCAGGACCTAGAGCAAGTGTGAGAAGCTGTTGCCACCTCCTTGTGCTGGTAGATGGTTTTCTTGTCCTCATCCTTTATTATTGTTGCTGCTGCTGTTACTATTATTATTATTGTTATATTATTATTATTATTATTGCAGTACTGGGGATTGAACTCAGGGCCTCAAGTGCCAGACCCTTCACTTTTTGTTTGTTTTTCAGATGGGGTCTCACACATTTTCCCTGACAGCCTTGGACCACACTCCTCCTACCTCTACCTTCCAAGTAGCTGGGACCACAGGCATGCGCCATCATGCCTTTTATTTAGAGTGAGCCCTTTAATAAACAGTCCTGCCATCATGTGAAGACTCAGTTTCAATTCTAATCTCTGATCAGCCACACCTCATCTCCCACTCCATGGATGTAAAAGCTTGAACCTGAAACCTTATTTATTAAAGGGAAGCCAGCCACAAACCCCACCCCACTCGGCTGCCAGAGCTGAGTACCACTCTAGTTTTGTCCTTTTCATTTTGCCCTCTAAGGAATTCTCTTACTTTTGTCAATGCTCATATCTGTACTTAGAAGCATATTTTAAATATTTAATCCAGGATTTCTAGGTGCTTCATAGTGGTTTGCTTTTGTTGTAGGTTATTTTTTTATCCATTGTACTAGAAACAGAAGTCTCTTTTCTCAAATCACCTGGGCAAATTGATTCCTCCTTATCTTTTCCTTCTCTCATGCCCCTCCTCCAATACCATGGCCTAAGGCAAGGTTCTCAAACTTTAGAGTGTACAAAACCATTTTCTAGGAGCTTACTAAACACAGATTAGCAGCAGCCCTCTGGAGATTTGGATCAAGAGGACTAAAGTGGCCCAGGAACATACACGCTTAATAAGCAGCACACTAAGTAGTTCTGTAAAGTGGTTCTGACCACACTTTGACAAGTGCTGTCTAAAGCCTGCTGTCCTTTCCCTGAGGTGGCAATCCACTGGCAGTCCCTGGCGGTATCTACATGAACCCTGCAGAGTCTAAACTAAGAGACAGAAATGCCAACAGACTCAAGGTCCAATAGTTCTGCCAGGCTAGTCCAAGTTCACGCCCCAGCCACGGGTGGCCTGACTTGCCTTCCTGTACTCAAGGTTGTTGGCTTTACTAATCAAGACTTTGACATTACTTGGAGAGGGATAAGCTGATTTTTACCTTTGTACTATGAAAGAAGGATTAGCTAAGCAAACTGATATTATAATCAAAACCCTAGAGAGACCGGTTGAGTCACTTGAGGGGTGTGTGTGTGTGTGTGTGTGTGTGTGTGTGTGTGTTGGGGTATATACAAATATACTTTAAGTTCAGGTATCCACTCTAGACCAGTTATGCTCTAAAATGCCTCTGAGAGTCATTTACTTAGAATATATCTTCCCATAGAAACATGACCAAAGGCAATCAGTTTCCCAGACCCACAAGCCTGTAAAGATATTAACTGTTCCCATTTCAGACTTACTTGTGCCAGGTGCTGGTGGCGCATGCCTATAATCCTAGCTACTTGAGAAGCAGAGATCAGGAGGATAGTGGTTGAAAGCCAACCTGGCAAGTAGTTTGCAAGACACTATCTCAAACAAAACAAAACAAAACATAGAACAGGCCTGGGGCGGGGGGGGGGGGGGGGGAGCTCAGTTAGTAGGTCATGTGCTGAAAAAAAGAATGAGCAGCAGAGCAGAGATTTCCATTCTTGTCCAAAAACATCATCCTGCCCCGTGATGAGGACGAAATGTTAAGGGTGTAATACAGCCTGGAGGCAAGTGACTCAGGTGAAAGGGCAGTCAGGTGTGATGGTGCGTACCTGTAATCCCAGCTACTCACAAAGTAGAGGCAGGAAGATCTCCAATTCAAGGCTAGCGCTGGCAGAGTTACTGAGACTTTGTCCCAAAAACAAAATAAAAACAAAAAATGTACTGGGGGCATGGCTCAAGTGGCAGAAACTTGCCTAGCGTGTGCAAGGCCCTCAGTTCAAACCCCAGTACTGCAGGACAGGTATGGGACAGAGAGGAGAGTTAGAGGTCCAAGATTTGTATCATCCATTGGTGTGGCATATGAAGAGGAAGAACAGAAGGGAATGCCATATAAGAGCTTAGTAAATTGCTCAGAATTTGGTCTTAAAACCAAAAAAAGCTACCTTGGGATTCACTCCACATGAAAGTCAGGAAATTCATCTTACTAAAAACGTACTCTCCCAGCTCCCTCCCTCTGACTTCTGCCCAGAAATGATTCCTGCAGTGAGGTGAGGTGAGGTGAGGTGAGGTGCTCCCTGGGACTCACCTTGTCAGCCAGAAGCTCCCTTATCTTGCTGGCCTGTAGGCGGAACCGGAAAAGTTGCGTTTCCAGAGCCAGGCAGCGTTTCTGCCAGTCTATGCTAGCCCGGGTCTCCACCTTGACCTCTGCCATGATGGAATCAACTTCTGGAAATTCCAGGGAACTCTAAGAAGCAACACACAGAGAGAGGAAAAGATAAGTGTGTGTGTGTGAGGAGTTACTTGGGGAAAGGAGGAAGAGGAAGGGCCCAAAGAAAGGACAGAAAAAACAGCGCTGGGGAAGGGAGGTAGCCACCGCTCTGCTGCTGCGTTCCCACCTTTCAGAGCTCAGCGGGAGCCGCTCCAGCCTAAGGCAGCTGAGCTACTCAGGAAGGTTCGAAACCTGAGAACCTAGAGGTCTCGTTTTTTTTTGTTGTTGTTGTTGTTGTTTTACAAAAGTGAAAAGGAGGGCTTGTTTTTCGTCGGATTATCCACTCAGCCACCACTTACTTATGTGCTAGACACTGTTCAGGCACTGGAAATACAAAAGTAGAGAGGGCCCTGTCTTTGAGTTTTTTAAGGAACTCTTAGGAAAGTCTAATTACAAGATTACAATGTAATTGCAAATGCCCTACATATGTGGATAAATGGGAGCAGGGAAGGGCTGACTGTGGGGTGGGTCCTGGTTTTAGGAAAATGTGGGTAACACATTCACCCAATGTCACAGAGCTTACTGAAGGCAGAATGCTACTCCCACTTCAGTTCTGATTCTAAAAAGTGGAAATATGATGTTTTAGATTTCCTTGACAATTTTCAATTTGCTAGTTATCATCCAATCATCTTGCCAGGAACAGATTCTCCTCTGCCCCTCCCTTTCAAGTGTGAAACCCAGAAAACTGCTATTCTGCCACAGCCTCTGAAGAAAGCCACCTATAACATCCCCAGCCAGAGAATTTGCCCAGGTGCCTTCTGTATGCAATTTAGAGAAGAAAAACTGGGTCAAGGATGAGAAAAGGAAGAAGCATGTATGAGAGTGCCTAAGATAGGAGAGAGAGGAACAGGTGAGCCTGAAGGAGAGGAGGGCTGGAAGACACACACCCCATCATGTAAATCCTCCCAGGGTAGTGATTACTCTTAGAAACAATCTTAAATTTAGTCTGCCCCAAACTATGATGTATGCTCACCTACTATTTAATGATTTTTTTCTTTCAATACTGGGGTTTGAACTTAGGGCCTTGCATTACCAGCTCTTTTCATGTTGGTTATTTTTGAGATAGGATCTCATTTTATGCCTGGGCAGGCCTGGACCACAATTCCATTTGTGCTTCCCTGTAGCTGGGATGACAGGAGCACGCCACAGTGCCTAGCCATTGGTTGACATGGGGGTCTCACAAACTTTTGCCTGGGCTGGCCTCAAACCATGATCCTCCTCATCTCTGCCTCCCAACTAGTTGGGATTACAAGCGTGAGCCACTAGACCAGCAGTATTAGATGATTTTAAGAAATGACTGTTCATTTTTTTTTCTTTTCTGGATGGGACTGGGGTTTGAACTCATGGTTTCACGCTTACAAAGCACGCAATCTACCGCTTGAGCCATACCTCCAGACCATTTTGCTCATTATTTTGGAGATGGGATATTGAAAACTATTTGCCCAGGGTTGGCTTTGGACCATGATGCTCTCAATCTCAGCTTCCCAAGTAGCTAGGATTAGAGGCATAAACCATTGGCACCTGGCTAACACCTGTTAATTTTTTTGACAATATTTTTTAACTCATTTGTTACAGATACTTAGGATATACAGGTAAGAAGTATATACTTTGGGGAATCTACTTTAAAATATTCCACATGGTAAAGGGAGGGATGATATATATCAAATAAGATTTGCCAAAATGTTGAACTGGAGTTGTGGTTCAGTGTAAAGTGGATATACAGGTAAGAAGTATATACTTTGGGGAATCTACTTTAAAATATTCCACATGGTAAAGGGAGGGATGATATATATCAAATAAGATTTGCCAAAATGTTGAACTGGAGTTGTGGTTCAGTGTAAAGTGTTTGATGATTTTTTGAAACTAAATAATGGGTTTGTAGGAGTTTTTATATTAGTCTATACTTGAACATATACCTAAAATTTAACACATGGGGGGGTGTATTCAACTCAGCTAACTTTTATTTATTTGGAAGTACTAGGGCTTGAACTCTGGGTCTTGTGCTTGCTAGGCAGGTACTCTACAGATTGAGCCATGCACTCATCCCAAATGTGTTGTGTTTTTAAATCCCCTTTCCCTTCCTCAAGAATCATATGGCCTCAGAAAACCCAGCCACACTTTGTACTATTAATCAAACACTACCTTGCAGCAATGGTGAGCCTCTCTGGTTGGTTAGTCACTAATATGGCTTCTTCCCTCACCTATCACTTTCACCAGTACCTTTCTTTCGTTATGTTCTACAGAGAGCCGTGATTTATGGAGTCCTTCCTTATTGTATAACAGGCTCCTTCTGCCTCTCTAACCCTCCCATACTATAGACCATAGGTAGACACTACTGTTCACACTTACAGGAAAGCACACTGAGGGACAGAGAAGCTAAATAAATAATACAGACAGTTCCACAGCTAGTAAGGAGTGGAGCTGAGATTCTGGTTCCAAATCCTTGTTCTTAGCCACTGTGCTCTTCACCCATCCAAAAAATGAAAAGACGCTGGGGTAAAGGCTGGGTTAAGAGTGCTTGCCCTGGGTTTCCCTTGGTACATGAAGGAGAAAAGGAAAAAGAGGGAGGAGGAAGAAGAGGAAAGAGGAGGAAGGAAGGGAGGAAGGACGAAAGGAAAGAAGAGAGGAAGATAGAGAAAGGAAAGCATTCTGATTCCATAATCAGTGAGGTAAATTGTTAAGAATGAAAGAACTGTTTTATAAAATCTTTCAGAAGACTTAATACTAAGATAAATCTATATTCCAGATTTTCTAGGGCATCCAAGCTCAAGTATTCTGCTACAATAAACCTCAATAAACACAGACAGTTGGCATGTGTCCGGGTTTTTCCTTTAACTTTCTATTTGTGTCAATAAACCTGGAGAGAAGGGCCCAACAATTAAACCACTGATGGGTCTGGTGTCTGCTTCTTCCGGCACTGGGCTCTTCAGAACAGTGGACACATGACCTCAGCCCAGAACTGTCACTCTAAACAATCCCAACATTGTGACCTCCCAGCCATCCCCACCTCAAAAGACTGGGACCAACTAGAACGAGCAGGAAGACAAAAGACAAAAACAAAACATGACCTTCTCTAAGATCACAGCTGAAAAGACAAAACAGAACCTTGCAGGCCCCCCAGAAGGCTGGGAGGCTTCACATTTGATTTTCCTAGTCCTTTGGTGTAATTTTGCTTTTTCTTCCATAAACAAAAAAGGTGGCAGATCTGGGACTAGGACCTGGGAGTCTTGCAACCTAACCCAGGGCTCAGAATTACCTAATAAAAGCACCCAAGTAAAACCAAGAGGCTGGAGGGAAGAGGGGTGACACAGAAGACAAACTTTTGTGTACTTGAATTTGATTAATTTTAATAGCCTCTTATTGTCAAAACTGTTGCTGAGATTCCAGAGAGTGAGGGAAAACCAAAATAAAAAAATCCCAGGACTTCTGAAATAAAATGTTTTTAGTTTCTGCCTAGCCTTGATATCTGAGATTACACCTAGGCTTTAAGGGGATGATTTCTCCAATCACGAATCTTCATGGCCTCACAGTTGGGACTATCAACTGGTTTCTTTAATCCTCTCCCTGCCTGGGGGATGGCTGGCAAATTCCCAGGAGGCTGAGACTCGTGCTAGGCTTGCCTCGGCATGTGAAGGGAGCTAAGAGGTTTGGAATCAGATCTGGAGCAAGGTGCATACTGCCAAGCCCAAGGCTGGAGGCTCTTCCGGCAGAAGCAGGTGGTTGAAGCAAAAGCTATAAAACAAGCGATATTAAGGGAAGACACTAGTAAATTGAACCTAGCCTACTAAGTCACCTTGCACTTGTACCTCCCCAAAAGATGTGCAAGGATGAGCAGAAATGAATATCTGACATTTGCAGAATGGCTCTTAGCTTTTCAGAACATTGCAACATGTATATTTACTCATTATCCACAAGATAGAGGACAAGTACAGTTGTTCCAATGAGCAGATAACATATCATATGTGTGACCAGCTAGAAACACAGAGCTAAAGACAGCAGAGCTGCGTGGAGAATCCTGCTCTCCCAACATCCAGAACATTCCTCTTTCCATGAGGGTGCTTCAGTAGTGGTAGCAGACATCTCGTGCTACCAGGCTTGCCTAATACAAACACATCATTAATGGCAAAATCAGATGGGACAGGCTGGGGATGTAGCTCAGTGTCACAGCGCGTGCTTAAAATGTATGAGGCCCCAAGTTTGATCCCCCGGGGGCCGGGAGGGGGTGAGAGATGGGGAAATGCAAGTGGAAGCAAGCTGGGAACAAAACCCAGCTCAGCTGTTTTTTGTTTTTGTTTTGTTTTTCATTTTTTAGGTTGCAAAGCTCAACACACATACGTAGGAAGACTAGCATAAGAAATCTGTATGTGCCCCCCATCCAGCCACAACTCAGGGCCACTCCTGTGAAACCTAGTTCTCTTGATTTCACTGGTACCCAGAATCCTAAACTGTTTGGCAGTTGAGTCAGGTGACCACCATGGTCTTGCCACCTGCTCTGAAGCTGCCCATATTCTCCAGCACCCTGGACTGAAGTGTTACAGAGGTCAGTAGGGCTGGGCCTCAAAGGCAGGGCTGGGAATAGGACAGGTTGTGGGGAAAATGCACAAGGAATCTTTTGGTGACTTCAGACTCGAGGCCTGCATCAGAGAAAATACAAACTTGACCTGGGATCTCTCAGGAAATTTTAGGAATTTGACAAGAAACTATTAAAATGCTTAGATTAAATTTAATTCAAGCAATCTTTGTTAAGTCTCTTTATCTTCATTAAGATGTATAAAGATCCTCTGGCTTGCAAGCCTCAAGCCTAGCGTCTCCCTGCAGAGAGAGCCAATCAAACAGGAGCCGAAAGGAAAGAAGTCAGAGGTCACTGCAGACCCAGGATAGCACACAGCTCTCAAGGACATCAGAGGCATCAGAAGGAAATGGGGGTTGGGTGGGGAAGAAGACAATGGGGCCTCTCATTACTGTTCACTCCCTGAATGTGGGGACCTTTTGTGATTTCCACTTCTTAGAGATGGACTACCATTTAATCTGAAAGTGCTGCCTCTTCTAATAGAAGGTGGACTACCTGCCCAACTGTGGTAAAGGAAGAGCCCTGGTCTCCTTCTGAGGATGGAGCTGGGAGGAGGGTTGAGCAGACACAGGTAGGTACAAGTCAATGCCCTCTGATCTCAGCAATGTCATCTGATCAAGCCAATGACGTGCAACTACCTCTACTGGGCATAAGCATCACATTTCAGAGAGTGTTAGAGGAGACAAAGGAAAAGGTAAGCAGGAGAATGCAGGACAGTGACTCAGTACTAGCTTTCTGTGAAGTCACCCAAAACAGGGCCAAGGGAATGTACAATGTGTTCTCCAGTCTCTGGGGAGCAGAGTTCAGCACACAGATACACAAGCCTCATAGATTTAAGAGGAATACAAAGGATCAAGGGAGGGGCTCAAGTAGTAGAGCACCTGCCTAGGAAGCAGCAGGCCCTGAGTTCAAAGCCCAGTCCAGCAAAATAAATAAGTAAATTATATAGGCATATAAAGAGAACTACATAATAGATGAGTAGAATGGGAGGGACATACTTCTCTCCCTTAGCTGGTGACTTCTGAAGAGGGAAGAAGAGGCAGTACATTTTTTCAACTCAATCACTAGTTTCAATGAGTTTGGGACCACAGGGTGCACCCCCTCATAACCTAGGTCTGAGTAGGTCCCCTCATGAATCTGAGGGTAGGGGGCCAATGGACAGATGACCAGTCACCACAGCTGGAATTTAGAAGGCTTATGTTTTGAGTCTGGCCTCTTCCACTCTAGTTATATGACCTTGGGCAAGTCATGACTTTTCTGGGTCTAGTTTCCCCTTTTGCACAACAGGGATAATAACAAACGCAGCAACGCTGCAATGAAGGTCTATAAGGTGCAAAATGATGGATCAGCACCATACAGCGTCTGACGCGGAAGACAGCGCAGAAAGTTTGATGATGAGTTGATGACTCTTCCGTTGAAAGAGTTATTCCAGTGACCTTTCCAGCGTTCTTTCTAGAACCAAGGCTCTGCCGGGAAGTTTTACAAGGTGGATTCACGGTAAAAGTTTATGGAGGAGATAACCTGGCAGGGAGCAAGCCAACATGAAGAGGAGTCTACTTCCAGAGCAGGATCTTCACTGCCTCAGTCGCCCCTCCTCCGTGAGGGACCGCTGATTCCCCCAGGACCGATTCCTCTATAAGACTGCTAGGACACAAAGCCCCTGATGTCATTCGGCGCCCAACCTGTTTAATTCCCTGCTTGGCTGACCTGTCCCTAGAAGTCGCGTCTGACCCATAAGGGCTCCTGAGAGAAACCTCCAGAATTTCCATTAGAAATAACCTGTGATGGGGTGGGGAGGGGTGACAGCGAGCGGGCACCGCACAGACTAGGTGGAAGCCTGCACGTACGTCCCGAGAGCTCGTCCAAGGAGCAACTGGATCGAGCCGGTCCCCAAGGGCGGGTCCTCCCCAGGAAGGCTGGTGCGGGCCTGGCGATGCGGGGCTCCCGGCTGTCCCCGCCACCCGAGCCGGCTCCCAGGTGGGGAGGCACCTGCTGCGGATCGCCCTCGCGGTCACGGCCGCGGGCCCCTCCGCACGCTAGCACAGCGCCCGCCCACTACCTAACCCGGCCCAGGGCGCGGGGCCGCTCACCTTCCGCGAGCTGCGGGGCGTCCTCCCCGCGCACCCGGCACTCGGGCGCCCAGCGCGCGCCGCCGCCGCCGCTGACCTTGCGTCGCTCACGCCCGAGTCCCGAGCGGCCGCCGGGTCTCCGCTCCCCGGCTGCAGGGGTCGCGGTGGGCGGGGCGGGAGAGGCCAGGGCCGGGAGGGGCGCCGCGCACTCGCTGCACAAAGCCGGGTCTCGCCGCCCCGTGCGCCGCTCCCTCCCTCTCCTTAAAGGCCGAGCGCCCAGCGGCGCTCCGCAAGGCTCGCGGACAGGCACAGGAAATGACCTCAGCAGGCTCCAGCCTCCCGCCGCTCCGCACCGCGGGGCTCGTCCTGGGGGTCCCCGGGGCGGTGGAGGGTGCCCCGCTCGCAGCCCCGGGCTCCCTGCCGAGGCCGCACCGGATGCCGCAAGGATCTGTGAAGTGCCCGGGAGAGCGTGGGACTCTCGCAGGTTGGGGACAAGACGAAACCCTCCCCCTGAAGGTGGTTCCAGCATTTGGCCACCTGTGAGAATGTAACGCCCCATACTTGGAACAGAAGTCCTTATTTCAGACAGCCGCTCCGTAGATTGCTAGTTTGGAGAGAGAGAAAAAAAGAAAGAAAGGAAAGGTCGCCACAGCCTAGAGTAACTTGCTTGCTTCTGTGTGTGTTGCTTACTTTAAAGAAGGCCAGGAAGCCAGAAAGGTAAGGAGGACGCTAATCAGCGAGCCCTTTTCCTCAAGCATTTGCAGCCCCTCGGCTCATCCAATATAATCCCAGAGGGGACTGGGCACTCAGCGTTTGGTTCAGGGGTGTGAGATAAGGAAGATGCAAAGGAGGGAAGACAGGGAAGGAAACGTTTTTCCAAGCGGCTTTCCTGCCTGGAGGTGTTGCTCAAACCAGAGGTCCTGGGTTCGATCCCCAGCACCAAAACCAAAAACAAAACCAAACCAAAAAAATCCCGGGCGCCTGTGGCTCACTTCTGTAATCCTAGCTACTCAAGAGGCAGAGATCAGAAGGATCGCGGTTCGAAGCCAGCCGAGGCAAATAGTTATGCGCCATCCTATCTCGAAAAAAATCCATCACAAAAAAGGGCTGGTGGAGTGACTGAAGGTGTAGGCCCTGAGTTCAAACCTCAGTACCGAAAAAAAAAAGAAAGAAAGAAAGAAAAGGAAGGAAGGAGAGAAGAAAGAGAAAAAGAAGAAAGGAAGAAGAAAAAAAAAAATCAGAGCTTTCTTCCCCAGTCCTACAGACTCAGTCTAGGCCAGAACCTAAGCAAAACAACACAAGAGCTGATTTTTCCCAGAGGGTATTGGAAGACACTCCAGGCACCAGTGAAAAGTCCCTGGCCCCACCCCAGGTTTGAATCTGAATTTCTGGGGGTGGGGCTGGGAAATTGCCCATCAAACAGCTTCCCAGGTGATTCTCATGCACAAATTTTGAGAGCCCAGGTACTAAGGAAAGCTGTCAGTTCTGGGCCATTAGAATCCAAAGATTGAGCTTGCAGATTGCTTTATGGCTCTGGAGATTGAGGTAGACCAGCCCCATTTTGTGGGATGCTGGCCTTGCCAATAGCCCTAAAGCAAATTCTCTTGATTTGGGAAAGGAAAAGTTCACTTATTCACTTAGAATAGGTAATCATACAGGTAGCATAAATTTCAAATAATACAGAGGGCTAAAAATGAAAAAGAAAGCTTCCTCCTGTCCCCAGTTCCCCAGATCATCTCTTCCCAAACAAAACTATTGTTGTTTTTGTGTGTATCCCTTCAGTAAGTGTATGTAGTATTCAAGTATTTTTAGATACATGTGTATTTATGTACACGCATTTACATCCACCCTTTTAACACTAAGCAGTCCTTGCTTTTTTCTCCTGACATTTTTTGCTGACTCTTAAGTATGACAGAGTAGTGCACGTTAGAGCTGCCTTGCTTTTTAAAGTGATTTCCTAATATTTGTGATAATGAATATTTCGCTTGTTTCCAAACTCTGCTTCTTGTATACCTTGCTGTGATGAAAACATTTGTACATACCTCTTGGTTCACACACGTGGTTGCCTTTACAGTTTAATGCTTAGAAGAGAAATCACTGGCTCTAAACACAATGCAATTTTTAAATTTCAATAGGTGCTAGCAAATGGCCCTCCAAGGACCCTGCACCACCCTACACTCCAGTCAGTGTGTCCCAGTGCTCTTTTGTTCCCTGCAGTCTGCCCCAAAGAAGTGATTTAGCACCAAGTACACAAACCTTTTGAAAGGGAAAATTAAACAAATTAGTGTGTGTGTGAGGATTTAAAAATACTATTAGCACACAGAAAGACTTCAAAAAGTGTTAGTGTGCCCCAACAGACAAATAAATTACAAAGCAAGTGACTTCCCACTTGCTTTGGATCCTCTTTAATCCCAACTCTGTAAATTTGGACGTGTTCCTTACCAACTCTAGGACTCAGTTTCTTTTTTATTTGAGACAGGGTCTTGCTATGTTGCCTAGGCTAGCCTTGAACTCCTGCTTCTGTCTCCTAAATGCTGGTATTACAGGCCTGTACCACCATACTCTTATCTTTAATGCATGAATCATAATCATCTCTCTGGGGTTGGTTTGAAGATTAAGTAAGATAATAGGGTTACATAAATTTTGGCATCCAACAATTGTTTAATAAGCGATGCCTATTTTTCTCCTTGTGGTTGGGAAATGTCATCTTTGTTCTCAATAACCATGTGCTCAGGGTAGGAGTGTTGGCTTTTTGAGGGAGGGTCTTGCTATGCAGCTCAGACTTGATCCTTCGGTGAGAGTGTTAGTGTTACAGACAGCACCACCATGCCCTCTTATTTTGTGTGTGTGGTACTAGGATTTGAACTCAGGACCTCACGTTTGCTAGGCAGGTGCTCTGCCAGCCCTTTTTTTGTGATGGGTTTTTTGGAGATAGGGTTTCTCAAACTATTTGCTTCCAACCTCAATCTGCCTACTGAGTAGCTCAGATTACAGGTGTGGGACACCAGCGCCTGGCTTCTCCCAACTTTCTTTTTTGAAATTTTCAATCTTAACAGAAATTGCAAAAATAGTACATTAACTACTTCTATACACTTCAGGAAGATTTACCAATTAACATTTTAAGCATTTAATTGTAACATTTAATCATAACATGTTAACATTTACTTTTATTTCCTCCCATATATAAGTGTGTGTCTGTATATATATCCTGAACTATTTGAGAGGTACTTGTACACACCATGATTCTAAACTATGAAGCATGTACCTCCTGGGAACAAAGGTGATTCCGGATATTATCGAATTCAGGAAATTTAACGTTAATGTAATACAATCTACTACATGGGCTATATTCAAATTTCGCAAGTTGTCCCCCAAATGCCCTTTATAGTTGTGTTTTGTAGTTCTATTTGTTATTAGTCCCTACCTAGTTCTCACCAGAGTGAATCAATGGCCAGAGAAGATCAGGCTCTTCATGCTTCCAGAGGGAGATCGGCTCCCACAGTGGGACCCTGGTATAATAGGCCAGCGGGGACTACTTGAGGGACACTGGGGTTGTCCCTCCAGCCTTGTTTGCTGAGGTTGCCTCCTCTCCCTGACTCCATCCACCCCATGAAGGCATCCTGGGAAGGTCCTGCTGCCCCCCTTCGAAGGATCCTCTGGTTGGGTTTCTGGTGTCTTCTCCTCCCCTACTTGTCCCCAGTCAGCAGAGGCAGTTGTTCTGGCACCAGGGAGGCCTAGATCCTGGAGCACCCTAAACCACAGCCCTGCTCCCCACCCCCATGCTAACCCACCCCAGGAATGAATCCCTGTGGACCTCTCTGCTGGCTCACCTCTAACTTAACTCTGGGTTTAAAGGTTAGGGTGTTGCAAACACTGTCTTTTCCCCACAGTTCTTCTTTCTTAAAGGCACCTTTTATGTAAGCTTTGCACAAAACTGGGACTAAGGGCCAAACTGTGAGCACTGGCTATATTCAGACAATAACAACAGCTGACATTGATGTCCTTCTCTTCTCACCTTTCCTCTCTTTTGTTCATTTATGGAGCTGACTTTGAAGTTGCTATAGGTACTGTATTGATGCCTCTGACTACAAGTTGAAAGAACCCACCTTTTTGCATCCTGCTTCAGTCTGTCCTACTATGAAATGAGAAAATTGTTTCCTAGTACAGCTACCCTTGAGAACAGAATAGTTGGAAGTTGAAAGAACAGGCAGGATCATGAGGGAGTTGCTATAGCAGAGGGGGGTTTTGGAAATCTGAAAGAAAAACACCCTCTTGGGACTGATTTTGGCTGTGATAGGAAAGGGAAGAGAGCAAGTAGGAATGGGGTAAGAGCTGGGGCCCCAGAAATCTCCTGGATTATTCAGAACCCTGAAAGGTATCCATGAAGAAGTGGTGCCCACCACCACATCTAGAGTTCATTTCTGTTAGAGTTTGAGCTCAGGGCCTTGTGCTTGGTGGGCAGGCGCTCTACCACTCCACCAAGCCCTAGAACTCATTGCTGTTGGACATTAGCTTATTATTGCAAGTGACCTGACAATGAAGGGTAGAGCAGAGAGATGGAAATAATGTCATCATGTGCTCTTCATCAAGGCCTCAGTTGTGAGAGGGAATGAGACCTGGATAGGCACCCATTGTCACCTGGTCTGAACCAACATGGCCCTTTAGTGATAGGTTCTCTTATTAACAATTACAGGACATTAGAGGTGAATGGAGGACATTGTCCTCTGTCCTATAACCTCCTACAAGTCAGATATTAAAAGTGGCTAAGGCCAAATTCTGCCAAACATACATGTATTGGCAAGCAGACATAACACAGTCACCTAACCTACTTGAAAGTAGGCAGGCAGTTGGCCTGGTCTGGTGCTTACATCTCGTTCATGCGAGGGCAGTAAGGCCCAGATAATCTTTTTGATCAACTCCACATGTGAAAACCACTTATTTCACCAGTGAAAGATTATTTCTAGTATCTCTCAAGCACATTAAGCCCTTGGGTGTAGATTTTGATGGCCTTTGAAGTACTTATGTAACCAAGCTCTGGAGTGCACATTTCTG